CTAACTAGTGGCGAATTATAGTAGAGGATTTAGATCGAGAATTTAAGGGCCAACCTGGCATGACAAACTTGCCAGTGGCATCTATCACAGTCACTTCATCTCCAACCTGCCGGTGGAACCAGTCACACATTGGAAACAGAATGTAACAGAAACACAAGGTGCTAGTAGAAGGTTAATACTTAACATAAAAAGTAGAAACGTTAAGTTTATTGAGAAAAGATACCGCAATAGTGGGTTTGATGGCAACAATGATGCCATCTTCGACATAAACGTCGGCAACCTGTTGGTGGTGAGCATTGACCACGGTACCTCCCTTGATCAAGAGCTTCGATGACGGAACTCCAGCGTCACAAAACTGAACCAATCAATCATTAAAAAGTGAAAACAAAAATCTGGATCGGCGAGTACAATAGTAGTAATTACGCAAATAATTGAATTTGTAAACGTTGAAAAATAATACAACGAAAAGAGTGAGTAGTGTGAAAGTCAACTGAGAAAAGAGACCTGGTTAGATTCTGGAAGTGGAGAAGATAGGGTTACGAAGAAGGCAAGAGTAAGAGGGAGAATACGAAGGAGTTGAAACGTGAATCTCATGGCTACGCTATTCGCATACTCTTTTCGGTCTTTCATTCACCGCAGAAATCAAACGCCTTTTCGTTCGTCTTTTCTTCAACCTCATCTTTTGTTTAATATTTCAAAAAACTCAAACTCTCTCGAACGACAACATCTACGTGGGCCGCTACGAAGTTGCCGCGTGGACAAATTCATAGTACCTTGTGCTGTGTTAGTTGATACTTAATAATTTTAGAAAAATAAAAAATTAGAATAGAGAAAAAAATGAAAAAAGGAAATAGCCATTGTAAAAAAAATATTTGTGTTAGAAAGTCCTACCCGATGTGTTTCAATGTTTCTGATATAATTTATAGGTGATAAATATGAACATCCATTGAAAGGAATGCAAAAAAATAAAAAAAATAAAATGAATGTACAAAAATTAGCTTAATTAATTAGTTCTTTTATTAATTGTGAATTTGAGTTTTTTCTGTGGATACCTTTGTGTAAATAATATTTTTTTTATAAAATAATAATAGAAGGAATTGGTCCGTGGATAACCATAATTGTTTGTCCTATTTTTACTCTAATCACAAATTATAAAGACGTTAATTTCGCTCATCCTCTCGTTAAAATTAAAATGTTTATAGCATCAAGCATTATAAAATATCTATTTTGTTCTAGTTTTCTCATAGTTCAAATACTCCATGAATCTCAAACCCTACTTTATATTTTGAAAAGGTGTTAGCTCTCTTAAATTTCCAGGCCCCTCTTGTAAAATTAGTTTCTAAAGTAAAATTTGTACTTGTTTATATATTACAATTTAATTATATTAATTATACATGATATATATGATTGTTATTAATTATGTGATAATATTTTAATTATTAAATTTAATTCTAATATCTAAATCTTAAAACATGTTAAATGGAGTTTTAGAAGAAAAAAAAACTAAAGAGAGTATGTTATCACAAATGATGCATTGATCATTTTAAATAATATTTATTTGTTCTTCATGACTTACATATATGAAATACAATAAAAAATATATTACTTACATATTTAACTTTTTTTAATTGTTATAATTTTTAATTTATAAGGATAACAATTTTGATAATTCATTTTGTATAGTATTATTTAATCAATGATAGCTTATTTCATTACCTTTTTTTATGCAACTAACATGACTTACATAATTGGATCAAATTTTACAAATATCTCAATCAAAATCAAAATATTATAATTTTTTTTATATATATATCTTCTCATTTTTCCCAAATAAACAAGATTGTATTTAGAAACATGTTTAATGATAATTTTAAGTAAAACTTGTTTCCAACGTTCCTTTTCTTTATTAAGTTGTTCGTATAAACTTTTATGAATTGTCCTTTTTCTTTACCTAACTCATGCTCTGGTTCATTTCATTTGGTTATATTATTTCATCACTTTTCAATTTGGAACCAATATTTTTCAATCTCCAATCCCTTCATTTACTAGTTAAATAATATTACGCGAACAAAATAATTTGAAAAAAAAATACACTTTATCTAAATTTATATATAAAAAATAATCATTTATACCATATTTTCACCATTTGACAATATTCAATGATAAAAAGATAAATATTTTTTTTTTCATCATTTGAAAATTTTAAATTTTAGTTTCTAATTAAACTCTTTATAATTAAGTTTCTAATTTTTTATTAAAATTTTCTTTTATCCAGGTCATAAATATTTTTAAAATTTTCTATTTATTATGTTATAGTCTTGTCTTATATTTTTAACTAATTTTATGTTAAAACTTGTATTATTTTAATTGTTATATTCTTTAATAATTGATTTATTACTGTTTCATCAATTGAACTAATATATATATATATATATATATATATATATATATATATATATAATAAATAATGTACTAATAATCACTATCTTGAGATTGAATTAATTTTTAAAATTTTATTTTTTTATTTAACTTTCTAATCAGAATCATACATTGTATTTAACATTTTCTAATTTTATAACTAAAACAAAAAACAACAATAAATAATTTAAACACACTAATTTCAAAGGAAATAAAAAATGATAGAAAGACAGAACCTCGAACCAAAAAAAACTACAAGTTGACGTTAATTGCTCCAGTAATTTAACATCAACTAGTCTATTTGAGAAATCACTTTTCAAGACTTCAAAAGAATGTAAATAGAAATAGAAATATGATAGGAATAAAAAACAATAGCATCAGAACTCTATTTATAATTAAGACGAGATAAGTTGTACTTAATTAATTAGAACGATTATAACATTAATTATTACTCAATTGAAATTTAATTGAATTTAAGGTTTAGAAGTAGTTAAATCTATTTATATATAAGAGACAAACCATACTTAAGAAGTGTAAAATTATTTTAAATGAACATGCCATTAAATATTTATTTCTATATATTTATAAATTTTATTTAAGAGTTACAATTAAAAATGTTCCCTCTCAAATATAATAATAAAATTAATATAATTTCCTACGATTTTATCTTTAAAAAATATTTTAATAATAATAATATTATTAATAATAATTACTTTAAATTTTAATCTTTTATAATTTAAAAAATTTATTAATATTAAAAATGAAATGTGTATTTAAATTATATAATATTTATAAATGTAATAAAAAATCTTACAAAATTGAAGGACCGAATCATAGTTAATCGTTTAAAAAAAATGATCACTTTTAAATGAGACTCCGAAAAACAAATTTTACAAAAGAAAATTTGAAACTAATAAATTTTATGTATTTGTTAATGAGTTGAAATTATAAAGAAGTTGATGCAAAACTGGCAACAATCTCGGACCTCATCCATTACATTATACAGCTCCCAAATTCCAGTTCGACCCACCAAACGTGCGACGGACACTTATTTAAATTCTAAATCTCTTCGCTGTCGTATTCAATGACGTAATCTCCCACCAAAACTTATCAAATAAAGTGACTAGTATATTTTTATTTCTGTATGTTTTTTATTTCCTTCCTTCATTTGATTTTAAATTTATTAATTCCATCTCTAAATTTTAAAATTCTATTATGTTAGTCTTCTTTTTACAAAAAAATTGAATATTTAGTATAAATTTTCTATTATCTCAAAGTTTATTAATTGGAATTAATAAGATATAGTTTTATTTTTGTATACTAAATTTAATATTTAGTAATTTTTTATCATTACAAAAATGATAAAATAATTAAATTCCTATTTTTTATAATTTAAATACTATTTAGTAGATTTTTAAAATATAGGGATAGAAATAAAGTTTCACAAATAATATAAAATCAAAAACTATATTTAATTCTAAAAAAAATATAATACAAGGTTCTAATTTTTTTCAGTTATATTTTGTTATATCCATTTTAAAAAAATTGTGAAATAACTCAAAATTCAAACTTGTTTTAGCTCAGGAACTAAATAAAACTTAAAATTAATATATATATATATATATATATTTTTTTTTTTTTTTCAACTCAATTCAATTCAAAAACACATTATGGAACAAGTTAATTTAGTTTCAAACTCATATTGATGTCCAAGTTATACCTTTTCCCACAAATAAATATCTTTCACCATCATCTACTTTTGCTTTTATTTTATTTTTTTTCAGAAGTTGAGTTAGATTCAATCAACTTGTAGAGAGAGGGCAATTATACAACCCTCACACTAAAAACTACTAATCATTTATTAAACCACGTTATTATGAGCTGATTGGTGATTCACTTGGCATGATTGTTCGTTTTTAATTGTTTATCATTCATACCAACACTACTCATCAAACTGGCTTGTATCTTGGCACTTGCAAAGGGCTATTTCTTAATTCTCATTCATCTTCACTGTTTCCAACACCCTCAGAAGGCCTTTTGAGCATCCTTGAGTAACAGTACTTGCAAGCCAATGAAATCAAAGATTCTTGGCTTGGACTTCGTTTAAATTAATTTTGCAAATTGAAATGACTCCACTGGGTTAAGAGCAGCATCAGACCCCACTAACACAGTCACAGGGTTAGCATGGCTAATATTTGTTTAATATGATGATTTTTTTACTATATACTATGAATTTGTTAATTATAAAATTTTAAAGTTTTATTTTTTAATGTATCATCATTAATTAGCAAAAGAAAATGGGTTTTTCTTTGTTCTCCAACAAAAACTGTGAATATAAAACTTGGAATATGAGAACTACGGAAGTGAATTTTATCTAAGAATTGAATAAGAACATCTCTCTTTCATTCCTAAAAGCCTCGCATTTTCACATGATACATGTCACGTATTAAACAATTAACAAGACACAGGTCACACAACTTTAACTTTCATGCGTATTTGTCTATATATACAGCGGGATTCGATCTGTTCCTCGATTCTGAGTGGTATATTATAGTCAAAAGAGTTTCTGAGGCATTGGAAAAATGGAAGATAGCCTTGGAGGGAGTTCCTCTAAGGACAACTGCGGCATCAAGGAACAAGACCGGTTGCTGCCAATAGCCAATGTTAGTCGGCTCATGAAGCAGATTTTGCCACAGAACGCGAAAATCTCGAAGGAAGCGAAGGAAACAATGCAAGAATGTGTGTCGGAGTTCATAAGCTTTGTCACAAGTGAAGCTTCTGAGAAGTGCAGAAAGGAGAGGAGAAAAACTGTGAATGGTGATGACATTTGCTGGGCTTTGGCAACGCTAGGCTTTGATGACTATGCTGCACCAATCAGAAGGTACTTGCACAGATATAGAGAGATTGAGGTAGACCATAATAACAAGGCCAATCATCAAGAAAGAGGGATCAATAATCCTCAAGAGAGGGATGAACTATGCAAATTGCGATAGAGTGTTAATTATGCTCTGCCAGATTATTATGCTTATACAGTGACGTAGTAAACTGTTTGAGTTTTTTCTGAGAGAAATATGTAATAATTTCGATGTCTTAAATTGGATTTCATTGAGCCTAACAAGATTTTCTTCTAAAGTCCTTTATATATATACGTACATACTTCAGGTTTGCATTCTCAATATATGAACAGTGGTCGTGGTTTCTTGCAAACTGAGAAATTTCAGTTTCTGAAGTTAACTTCTCTCTGCAAATCAAACACCAAATTCAACCTTCTGTATTCCCATTTACTGTTCTACTAATTGATGATAAATTCATCCAGAATGTACTTTTACAAGAGCCATTCAAGAATATGAATCATCCTTCAAGCAAGAAAGCTGTAAAACTGGAGGATATAATCACCGGTTTGATCTGAGTTTTTCATAGGAACTGGCTAACTCTTTCATTTTGGTTGATTAATTTCCATGAACTTTCCTACATTTAAGTACTGTATGTATATGTTTAATGTTACCAGAAGTCAGCATTGCCGTCGCCAAACACACTAGTTCAAAGTAACTTTTAGGGCTTTAACATTAGTGTGTTTAATTTACTTTTTTTCAGCTTTAGACTAATGTTAGGGTTTCATTAACTCTTAATTTTTAAAGTTGGGACCACAAGTTTACCCACTAAACTATTATTCTATTCATTATGGTGAACATATAACTGAAAACCACCCTCTCCTTCCACTCCTCATAAACAAGAGAAGAGAGAACAATACGGTGTTCAAGATATATATACTGTACCATGTAATATTTTTAAAGGAGATAAAAAAAAGTTGTTTCGTACATTGTTGTTTTCTTCTTTCTATTCAAATACAGTGCGACAGGAAATGAAGGACGAAAATCCAGGAAGCATCAACCAACAATAATGATTTGAAGGTTGAAAAATGGGAATCAATGAAGAACATATTATATTGAATGAAGGACTAAGAGGTGTCCAATGAAAAGGTGAAAGCATGAATGGATACTGTACTTACTCTTCCCTATATGGCAACCCTTACTGAATATATATATAACAAGGACCAAGTACTCTTTGCCATGGCCAACCATCACTCACCAAGTGTCTACCACATAATTGGTTGCCTTAAAAGTCTGCAACATATTTAGCACCTTGCTGCTTGGACTAACCTGTGATATAACGTGCCAAGGTTGAAAAGTAAAAACCAGTTATAACTACTATAAATGACATGGATAATGATATGTAGATAAAACTCCATTTCAAAAGTATATCTTATTTCAAAAAACTTCCATTAGTCATCTCTTATTTTTCAATTGAAGTTTTGGTGGTGATCAATCTGACTCTTACCAGGTTGAGAAGGATCATATCATCAACAAAATCCCTAATTTATGAAGGATAAATGAGCCATGCCAACCTTTCAAAAGTCATGCAAATAAAGAAAACTTCCTTTGTTGCCTCTTCCCACTCACATCTTTCTAAACAATTGCATGTAATAATTTATATATTTATGGATTTTATTTATTTATTTAGGAGTATTCATGAATATTTGTAGATATTTTTTTATTTTATTCTATTTTTATTTAAAATAAAAATATTTAAAATTTATTCTTAAAGTATGTATTTTTATAAATTTTATCTTAAAATATAATAATAAAATATTAATGTAAATAGAATCAATCTTATAAAATATTAATTCAAAAAAATTGTAGTACAAAGTATATATTTAAATTATATAATTTTTTAAAAACAACTTTAGTTTTATAAATTTAGATTATATATATATAAATTTTAATTCTAAATAATTTTTAAATTAATATTTGTTATCAATAATTTTATTTTAAAAAATATTAAATAAAAATTAGTAGCAATAAACGATATCCACATGTTTGATACGATCGATGATATTGTACCACTTTACTAATAAACGGTAATTAAATACTTACCTACGAGTATCCATCCATGTTCAATATGTGTTAATTATAACCATTATAGTATATTAACCAAAACACAATTATATAAGCTTTTGATAATGAGGTATCTCAAAATCAAATTTTAATTCAAAATCAGAAGGTGAAGTTTTCTAAGATAGTTTATGGCAGTGTTTTGAGAATTATATCTTACTTACTAGGGCTTTCATTTCTTTGAAAGGTTTATAATCGCGTTCTAGGTCAAAACTTCTTCTTTATTTATTATAAATAAAGTCAAATCTTTTTTTAAATCTTACAAATCATTATTTTTTTCCTCACATGCTTATTTCTCTATATATATATATATATATATATATATATATATATATATATATATATATATATATATATATATATATATATTCTCTTATATATTACTATGCAGTTTCATCGGATTAGATCACACCATTAATTGTTAATTGAACTAGATTAAAATCCACTTATTAATTATATTAAAATAAATTTTTTATTTAGGATTTATATTTATATAAATATTTTTTGGAAAATATTTAACCAATAATAAATTCTAATATTGAAAATAGAAATAAAAAACAATTGTTTGGAACTTTTAGTTCTTTATTAAAATACTTTTTTTATAAATTATTGTTTGGAACTATAAACAAATTATTTCATTTCAAATAAAATTATTTCATTATGATATAGAAATTCTTTATTATACCTATTGACTGAATTTTTTTGTATTGATTATAAAAGTTAAAAAGAAAAAACTCGTTAATTGAGTAAATAATTAAAATAAAGAAAAATCAACTTCAAAACTTTAATCTAAATTAATAAATCAACGAAGACATAAATGTTACTATCATAATTGCCATAAATTATATTAAAATAAGATAAAAACATGTTAAAATAATTATTATTTAAATTTAATATAACTAAAAAATAAAAAATATTATATCCTTTATAAAAAAAATATTAAAAGAATTGTAATCTTCTATTTTTTTTATCAGAACCAATTTCATCTAAAAATTCAATAAATTTTTTCAATTTTATATTGTTTTTTTAATTTTATCCCAATTTAATCAGGGTATGATTATTTAAAATAAACGAATCAATTTCTAAATCGAAGGATCGGTCGGTTTGTAAAACAGTGACATATGCTACATGTATATAATTTTAAGTGTTTATTTTAAAATTATGCTTGTTTTAATTAATTTCACAATATTGTGGATCACTTTCTCTTACCTATGTGGGTCTGCAAATCTGGTCTCTCTGGCCCAGATATAGATCTCGTGCGGACTAGGCCCAACAGCAATACATTTTTTTCTTTTAAAACTTTGTTTATTGTGGCAATATATGATATTTATTAATTGATTTAATTCATATATACAACAATCTCACTTTAAAAAAAAAAATTAAGCTAATTTTAAATGTAAGCGAATTTTTTTTTGGTGAATTTGGAGATTAATAAATAATATGATTTTGGATGAGAAGAGTTACTCAATGCAAAATACTTAATATGTGATGACAATTTCCGACATTATTTATCAATTGCAAAATAAAAATAAAATGGATCAAATTCATCCATTTTTTTTACGAATGATCAATGATTTATGTAATATTTTTCAAAATTAATTACTCATGTAATCAATACTTAATTGACAAAAAATAATTAAATAATTTTTTCACAAATAATTTCCTTTTTTTAAAATACATATTTAATTTTGCTTAATGAATATATATTTTCAACTAAATATTTTAGAAATATATTATTTTTTAAAATACACTACCTCAAGAATACGAACATTTATTTTTCTAAATATAAGAAACATGTAACCCCTTTTAAATGTATTAAATGTTAATTTTTTTTACATCTTTTATTACTGTGAAGCATATTAACAAGACTTCCACTAATTTCTAATAATTTTTTTTATGAAGTTATAATAAATCCGTATTTATTAGGTTGGGTCATTAACAATTAATTATTCATTAAACAATAAACAGTATCATTAAATATAACATATTTTATGAATATTTTTTAAATTTAATTTCATGACATTATTAATAAAAAAAAACCAATTTAATTATTTTATTGGTCTTCACATTTGTATTTTTGGATGAATTTGATATTTATTAATAAAAAAATAGATTAACTAATTAGTTGGATAAATTTAAATGATTTTTTTGGCATGATTATAAACCTAAATTAAATTATTTTGCTTTGTTGTCTGAAGTTTGAAAATATCCCAAGACAATAATTTGGATTTGTAATTTTCAGAAAAGTAAATCGTCAATTTATAATTTTTATTGTAAATAGCCCTATGATTCTGTAAGGATTAGAATTGTCTGAGAAAAACAATTAATTAAATTTAATAACATAAAAAAATATTAATTTTTCAAGTTAATGCTAATTTAAGTTTATAATTTTTCGTAACCTTGTTATCAATAAACTGATTATTGACTTTATTAATAATACGAGAACTAATTTAAAGAAATAAACTTATTTGTCACTCCACTTATTTGTAATTAAAGTTTATCATGTTAATAGAATAAAACATGTATTATTAAAAATTAATAGAATCATGCTAATTTTTTTTTGTTATAATAGAAATTGTTATTACAGTAAATTATATTTTATAATAATGCACATAGAATTTTATAATTATAAAAAAATTCCGTAAAATTTATTATCAAATGATTAAATATGATTTAGCTAAAATAATATTTCTAATTACATTAAGACATATAAAAAGGTAAGAATAGTCTCATAAACTGTGTAATAAATTTGGACAGGACATAATAAAAATTTTTGTTCTTCCTTCCTTTCTGGTCTCTCTCTTGTCGACCACAACGAACTTGCAAATCCTCTTCCTCCTTCTGGAATTCCTCTTCTTTTTCTTACATCCACCGTTCCTAGGGTTTCGCCTTCACGCCCACGGTTTCTCACCTCTCTACGGTAACGCGTCTTTTCTTCTCTCAATCTTACTTCCTTGATCTCCATCTGCTTCTCTTTCCGCTACGTCGCTTCTTCGCTTCATTACCCACGGGTTCCAGAATTCGGATGTTCAACATGGATTGTGTTGTTTTCTGAAATAGGATTGGGGAAATCTGTGGATGATTTTGAAATTTACCTTGTTTGGGAATAGTTTAGGTTTTGGTTGGGTGAGGACTTGCGTGTTGTTGTTTACTGTGATTTTCTTGTATCAGAGTTGAAGTTGTTTGGTTGGCATTTGGAATGTTTTTTTTTTTATTATTGTTTTTGCTTGAGGTTTGGGGATTGTTGTTCTCACGAGGGTTTATTAACGTGTTTTAGTTGCAGATTTTGGCGCTGAAGCTTGGAATTTAGTTTGCCGGCATGTCCATGAGTGAGCGCAAGACCATTGACCTAGAGCAAGGATGGGATTTCATGCAGAAGGGCATTATGAAGCTGAAGAATATTCTAGAAGGGCTGCCTGAGCCTCAGTTCAGCTCGGAGGACTATATGATGCTATACACGTATCTATCTCTGAGATGCTTTGTTCGTTTTCATGTTCAGTACCATATGCATGTTTGGGAAACGGTCTTCGAAAAAAATGATTTTGTTTTTTAAATTTGTGTTAGGATTCTTTTCATTAAGAGCTTTTTACCTTAAAATAAGATAATCCAAGCAGTGTACTGAGTGTTTTTTGTGTCCAAGTAAATTCGCCTTGCTTGAGTTCATTGGACATTTCCTTGTAAGAATTAGTTTTCTTTATTTCGTATTGCAGGACCATATACAACATGTGCACTCAGAAGCCACCTCATGACTATTCCCAACAACTGTATGACAAGTACAGGGAGTCCTTTGAAGAGTACATCATATCAACGGTGAGTAATGAGATTTTTGAATATCATATGCTTATCTATATGTGTGGTTGTATTTGAATTTCTTTTTGGTTCATTATTTAGTGATTGCTCGTTATAGTTATTCTAGGGCATAGTTGGTTAAAGTACCAGTGTCATGCCTTTACTTTTTAATTATATTAATATTGTTGGCCCTTTCTTATTTGAGGACTAGGGGAGTGTTGAAAAGGAGTGTAAATCCCCACAGAAAACGCATCCTACTGTGGAAAGAAGCCCCTATAGATCCTGCTAAAAGAATAGTATTTCACATAGATATATAGGTTCATCTGACACATGGAGGTCTAAGGGAAAGCATTAGCAGAGTTTGCTAGGTATTGCATGGGTTTAACGGGCAGAATGCAATATGTTCTGATTGTGGTATATGCAAAACTCGATGACCACTTATTCTGGTGACATTTCTTCTTTTCCTTTTAGGAAAATTGTTTCCTCAAAACATAAATAATGTTTTGGAACATTCAAACCCCAATGTGACCAGATATCAATAGTTTTTACTTTTGACTTAGTGTAAAAGAAGAGTGGATGTTTTGGCAGTGAAGGATGATTTGCAGTGAAAGTACAAAACCAAGAACATAACAAGACAATCAAGGAATAAGAGGTACCTTCTAAAGAATAATAAGTGGTTGGTAGCTGCAGTGGGGGGCAGACTCAAGTCAGCTCCACTACCATATAATGATATTAGATTTAGAATAAGGGAGATGAGCAAGAGCATAACGATTCTAGAACTTGAAGAGAGTCGATAAAAATTCTGGAAGATAAAAACACATTTTCTTATTTCTTAATAAGGTTACTTGGTTAAGAAAATATATTATTAGGCTAAGTTCTGATGTTTGAGAGAATGGGATACAATGAAATGGAAAGGTGATATTCACCTATGCTTGAATCATCAATAGAAGACGAAAATCGAAGGTAAGGGATTATAACTTCAGAATTAAACGTCCCTTTGCAAGCATCTCAGATATTGGCAAACCAGCAGATGAGAAGTTCTCAAAATAAAAAGGCTGTTTTTATTTATCACTTCCAATTTGGAGTAGAATGATAGATAGAAATTTGAGAATAGTTCCCTCACATTCCCTTTCCATGCATAGCTTTTTAAACTTCCAAGTAAGGAAAAAAAGTAGTAAGTGGCACGTCCCCACATTTTGACACACCACAGATAAACTAACTTTGGGTTCTTGGTTATATATATTTGATACAAGTTTATATAGATTCATTTCATATCTTTATTTCTGCACTCAGAGCCATTGGCTTTTATTAGAAACAGACTGGGCCTAATTCATTCCCAAAGCTAAATCAAGGGAGGATTGCTCATGTCTCATGAGGAGTGTTTTTCCCACTTTCTTGGTCAATCCGAGACATATTAACTTGCCCCCTTCAGTCCCAAGACTGTACAAAGCATGAAGTTTGCATGACTGAACATATATGGGTTGCTCAACATTAAAACTGGATATATTCTGATATTATATTAGAAAAAGATTGGACCCAACTAACTCTTGAAAGCTAGTTCATGGGAGGAAGATTGCCGAAGTCTTATGAGGAGTATTCTGGTCATAGTTCTAGCTTATGTTGAATATCTTTGCTGCTTTCATGAAAAAATTGGAGTGTGTTGATGTATTGCTTCCATATCAATTATGTCATAATTTGTGTGAGGTGAGGAAGAGGAAATTCTGTGTTCATCTTTATTTTATGTTCTACGTGTGTCTTATCAGGGTGTTTGTAGTTTATCTTGATGTAATAAATAGGTAGTTATCTTCATTTACCATTGAGAAAATGTAAGGCTATCTTTTTCAGGAAATACAAGTGGCTGTTGAAACTATCTGCTAAAATGGAGAAAGTTTAGAGATCTATATGACTTCATTTTCATTTTACTATCTGCTGATGGCAGTATCATGACAATAAGTAACAAAACAATATTGTGTGGTCTTTTATCAAAACCGATAGTACATTGTGTTGTAATTTGAGTTCTCTTTGTGTGAGTGATAAAGAGTGTTTTTTGTCCTTTTAAAATGTTTATTTAGCCTAAACGTGTATCTTATAAGTTGTTAGCAATATGGTGGAAGGGATTCTCAGAGTTTGGGATTTGACTTCTCTAAAGTGAGGGATTCGCTGTAGAAGTAAAAGTAAGGAATTATACCTGTTTATGAAAAAAAATCAAGCGAGTATGTTTAAACAGTTTCATCTTCGTAGTATGTTTTGTTACACATGTGCATACATTTCATTATAATTTCAACCATTGATTTTTTTTCAACTACTGGTAATGAATCTATCACTTTAAAAACCCAACATCCAAACAGTTTGGTTGATCCGTAGTCTTATAAAGATACCCATTTTTTTAATACCCTTAAAGCAATATCTGGTTGACACTTGACACTTCCAAAATCACCAATTCTGATAGCTGACATATTTCATGATGAAATGGTTTCTTTTTTTGGATGGGGGAGTTGTCATGTGACATTTAATTTCATGTACATTTTAGCCATAGAACTTTTGAAGAATTGTTTTCAATTATTTTTACAGTTTTATCTGTTACTGTTACTGTTACTAATTTTGTTATCAACTTTCATAAATTAATATCACTTTTTGTCCAGGTATTACCCTCCTTGAGAGAGAAGCATGATGAATTTATGCTAAGAGAACTTGTTAAAAGGTGGGCAAACCATAAAATTATGGTTAGGTGGCTTTCTCGTTTCTTTCACTACTTGGACCGCTACTTTATTGCTCGGAGGTCACTTCCACCACTTCATGAAGTGGGTTTGACATGCTTCCGTGATTTGGTAAATTTACAGTAACCTTGAATTGTGTAGAGTATATAGCTCAACCATGTATGATGTTATGTCAATTTTTTCTATCAGCTATTGTTATTCATGTCAGAAGTTATAAATATATTAGATTTGCACTGCTATTGCAGACTAGATTGCTCTCATATTTTGTTTCTGTTTTTATTATAAGGTAAATGTATGGCTTCTATTATTTCCAGGTTTATAAGGAACTAAACGGGAAAGTCAGAGATGCAGTGATTTCCCTTGTATGCTTTTCCTTCTATTAATTATATACACGAATTTAAATATTAAAAATTTAGAGTAGTTAACATATCCTATTTGACCATAGATTGATCAAGAACGAGAAGGAGAGCAGATTGACCGAGCTCTGTTGAAGAATGTATTAGATATATTTGTTGAAATTGGAATGGGGCAAATGGATCATTATGAAAATGATTTTGAAGTTGCCATGCTCAAGGACACTTCTGCTTATTATTCACGGAAGGCTTCAAATTGGATCCTCGAAGATTCTTGTCCTGATTATATGCTGAAGGTATTATTTTGTTTTGGTGATTACATTAAACAATTTAATCATTTAGACATGTACAATATTGTATTTAATTGCCTTCGTGTGATGTTGTATCATTCGTACAGGCCGAGGAGTGCTTAAAACGGGAGAAAGATAGGGTTGCCCATTACTTGCACTCTAGTAGTGAGCCAAAATTATTAGAGGTATGGTTTAATATTATTTCTGCTACTTGATCTTCTACTGTGTTGAATGAAGTAATGTCTGGCTTTGAAGAAAATAAATTTTAATCATTATGATGATTTTTCATGCTTCCAATTTTTAGTTTCTGAGCTCTTATGTCCTTTTTCTGTTTTAGAAAGTTCAACACGAACTGTTGTCTGTATATGCAAACCAACTCCTTGAAAAAGAGCATTCAGGGTGTCATGCCTTACTTAGAGATGACAAGGTCAATTTAAGATTATCATTCTCATGATGTTTATACGTATCCTACGATTTAAATTTATCATAATCTCATGTTTCCTTTTAATGGTTAGGTTGAAGATTTGTCAAGGATGTTCAGGCTCTTCTCTAAAATTCCACGAGGCTTAGATCCTGTTTCCAGTATATTTAAGCAGGTTGTGACATCAAACCCATATATACTATTTTCTTCCCCTGTATGCCAGTTAAATTGGGCTATTCTTTTTCTCCTTTTGGTTCTTGATGGTTTTTTTTATACTATGTTTTTATCCTTCCACCACACAGCATGTCACAGCTGAAGGCATGGCATTAGTGAAGTTGGCTGAAGATGCAGTGAGCACCAAAAAGGTATGTTTCATTATTTATTTATTTATTTATTTTATTTTTTTATTTATTGGTCATTCTCTCCCACAATAATTGAGGAAAACTAATATGCTTAACTTTTTACTCCTAAGTCACAGTATATGCAATAATTCTTACTCAATAGGTGACTGTTTGTAAATACATAAGATAAAGTGATAATCTTCAACTTTGCTGTAGATTACCTTTCTGTTCAGTATCATGTCATGAAATTGGCCTTCTTCTATTATTTATGAAACATTGTTTCAGATGCTAAGAGAATGTGAAAAGGATTTCTGTTGAGTTATGGCGAATATTTCATTTACATCTAAAGAAGTCAAAATACAACTTTATAATTTAGCATGTTAGGAATGCTTTTACATGAACAGTTGGAGTGAAGCCATGGTACGTATGAATTAGTTTTATTGCTAGAGGATATGTCATGTGCAACATATCCAGCTAAAGAAGTGCAGATTAATGTTTAAAAGGAGATGTTTTTGAAAATATTTTTTATGTAGACATCTGGAGCCACATGCTTATGATTTATTGACCTATCCTAAGTCTCAACACAGTGTGTACGTGAAATTGTTTTAGTACTGGAGTTGCCACGTGTCTTGGAGAAGCATCTGGATTTTTGTTCATGCATAGAGATCAGTACTGTTCAAAAAGTGTTGAGAAAGCCCTTTAACTGCTATGTACGAAGAGAAATAATAGTAAAAATCTTAACCGTAATAAATTAATTATATGAAATATTAAATTATATCTTATGTTGTTATCTAGAGACAGTTTATCAATTTCTGCAATCATTGCACTAGACAGAGATGTACAAGTTTACAATTTTAGTGAATTGTGATAATTGATTGGGAAAAATAGAAGAAAGGAAGGTACAGAGTTGGTCCTCCTCATCATGGGAAAGCCTGAGATTTCATCTCATTCAATTCTTGAAGTTACTTGACATATGTGTTTTATCTACTCATCTACACCAACGTTACTTATTGGTACATTAGTATTAGTTAGTAGTCCTCCTGGCCTTTTTCTTTTTTCTTTTTTTGCAAATCTGCTTTGAAGTTGATGTTTCTATCTTTCATTTTATGTTTACAGTAGCTTGTACATAATTTAAGTTGATTCAGTAAACAGTTGTTTCAATATCCTTATTTTACAAGCAAAAACTCTTCCATTATCATGATGTGAATAGTATGCTTTTGGAGCAATTTAAGTTTGCTGCTGACCATTCTGTTACCCTTTAAATTAAATTGTCTACAGGCGGAGAAAAAGGATATTGTTGGTTTACAGGAGCAGGTAATCTCCTAATTTTCAAATTGTATAGTTTTACTGTAATTTATTCAATTTTGAAAACTGATTGATTTCCTTCTTCAGGTTTTTGTTCGGAAGGTGATTGAGTTGCATGACAAGTACCTGGCATATGTGAATGATTGTTTTCAAAATCATACTCTTTTCCACAAGGTTATGATTATTAAATGACTTTGATATTGTTACATTGAATCTATATGTTATTTAAGAAGTTTTTATCCTATAGGCTCTTAAGGAGGCTTTTGAGATCTTTTGCAACAAGGGTGTTGCTGGAAGCTCAAGTGCGGAACTGCTTGCCACATTTTGTGACAATATTCTTAAGAAAGGAGGAAGTGAAAAGTTGAGTGATGAAGCAATTGAAGAAACACTTGAAAAGGTCTCTAATACATCAGTCTAGTTGTACCAAATACTTTTATAAACATGACGCCTTGGTTCTGAAATTCTAATTATTTTTTTCATTTGCAGGTTGTCAAGTTGCTTGCCTATATTAGCGACAAAGATTTGTTTGCTGAATTTTATAGGTAAAACAACTTAGAAAAGGAAAATTATCATTACGTTGCAAATGGTTTTCTGGGTTGTTTGCTATTGCTTCTGAATTGATTTTAAGAACTAAACTTGGTGATCTCCTAAAGCTTTACAATTTTTTTCTTGCATGTATCAGAAAAGTGGGAGAGTATTTATGCAAAAAACTTAAAAGGCCAGATAAGAGTATTTTAAAATGGATATTAAAAGAGATGGTAGTAGGGTATAAGAAAATGAATAGAAAGTGGATTGCAACTATTTGGAAATTTAAATTTTAATTCTATATATTTTAAAACCATATAGGGTTTATCTTTCAAACATTTCAGCATGACAAGGATTATTTTGTTGTTTTTGTGACAAGTGATGATAGAACATGTTTTCCCCATTCTATAAAGTAATAAATAGTATGGATGCCAGACAATATCCTCTTTGGTTTTGGCCTTTTGAATTTTAATTGCTTTAATGCTTTACAGTTCTTTTGTATTTTATGATACACCAAACTATGGTGCATCTTTGTGACATGATTGACGATACAGTGGTAATCCATCATTGAAGTGCTGTTTTCTGTGGCTAACTTGAGTGTCTACATTACTTTTTTTCCTCTAATGTAAGATGCTTGCAAAAGAAAAATTGTCAAACACGTGTATACCTGATTTCTTGTAGGAAGAAGCTAGCTCGAAGGCTCTTGTTTGACAAGAGTGCCAATGATGACCACGAGAGAAGTATTTTAACAAAACTAAAGCAACAATGTGGTGGTCAATTTACCTCGAAGATGGAAGGAATGGTTAGTGTTTTCCAAGTCTTTGTAAATGGAGCTGGCATACTATATTCAACTGAGTAGAATGACTAAAGAAAACTTATTTGCTTGTGGCCTCTACCAGGTTACAGATTTGACGCTTGCAAAGGAGAACCAAACAAGCTTTGAGGAGTATTTAAGCAATAATCCTAATGCAGACCCTGGAATAGACTTGACAGTTACAGTTCTGACGACTGGCTTCTGGCCTAGTTACAAATCTTTTGACCTCAATCTTCCAGCAGAAATGGTATTTGGTTTTGTTGATAACAGCTGTTCAGAATTCGTTGTCCAAGTGTTTGGTACATCTTAACTAGATTAGTTCATTTTGGTTTACAAGTTATACCTCTTGTATATTTTAGGTTAGATGCGTTGAAGTTTTCAAGGAATTTTATCAAACAAAAACTAAGCACAGAAAACTTACATGGATTTATTCGTTGGGAACCTGCAACATAAGTGGGAAATTTGATCCAAAAACTGTGGAGCTGATTGTAACAACTTACCAGGTTATATTTCTTGACACCCTTCTTTATGTGTTCAAGTGTATCTATCATTGTTTCAGTTTTTTATGTCGACAGATATTTGTATGGATTTCTTTCGACTTACCCAGTGTTGCTTCTTGATCTTCAATAGGCTTCGGCATTGCTTCTGTTTAATTCCTCAGACAGACTGAGTTATTCAGAGATAATGACTCAGTTAAATTTATCTGATGATGATGTTATAAGACTGCTCCACTCCTTGTCATGTGCCAAGTACAAGATTCTTAACAAGGAACCAAACACGAAAACGATATCTTCTACAGATTTTTTTGAATTTAATTCAAAATTTACGGACAAAATGAGGAGGATCAAGGTACATTATCTTAACAAAATTTTTCTATTTTGTTTACAGACTTGAGTGAGACTGACATTGACACGTAATTCATTATGCAGATTCCTCTTCCTCCTGTTGATGAGAAGAAAAAAGTAATTGAGGATGTTGACAAGGACAGAAGATATGCTATTGATGCCTCAATTGTGCGTATCATGAAGAGTCGGAAAGTTTTAAATTACCAACAGTTAGTAATGGAGTGTGTTGAGCAGTTAGGTCGCATGTTTAAGGTTCGGATTCACCCTTTCCTAACACAATTCGCTCTGCTTATACATGTTTCTCAAAATCCTGAATAGTTGCGATAATGAATTTGCATTTGCGCAGCCTGATGTCAAGGCAATTAAGAAGAGGATTGAAGATTTGATCTCCCGAGACTACTTGGAAAGAGACAAAGATAACGCAAATCTGTTCAGGTATTTGGCGTGATGTGGTCTTGACGATTTTGCAACTGAAGCGGTGGTTACTGCTATTGCTACAAACAGCAAAACAAGAGGATCATATTTGATCATGCAAAAACATCAGTTCCTCCATAATTTGCTTGGAAGGAGGATCTGCGAGTGCTTGTACATTTTGCCTCCATATCCAGGTATGGATTACTACTGTAGATGTGTGCTCATGTTGGAGAAGTTGTAATGAATTCCATAAGCAGGTCCAGCTCACTTTCACTGGTACCTTCACTTCCTTTTTCTTTCGATTGCTGCAGTTCCATATGATATGTATGACTTAGTTTATGCCTGTGTTAATTATTTCTCCCAACCCCCATAAAGGAAATAGAAATCGTGTAACTCTAGTTTCAGTTAAATTGTAGTTTGATTGTCATCTTCCAAACCATCAAGTGAATGGTGTATCTCAAGGATTTCAAGGTTGTGCACTTCGTCATCCTCGTCTAATATTTATATATATTTTTCCGGTGAATGAGATTATTCTCTTATGTTTTGTTGTTGCAAACCTCCAAATTATTATAGTCCCCTTTTGTTCTGTGGCAATCAAAAGTTCTTTTGGGTGAAATTTGAAAAGGTTTTGAAGTTGAACGCCACATCAAATTAGAACGTGACATGTGAGAACAAGTCAATTTAACTACCGGATGTATAATAATGGTCATGATTTGTCGACAATTGTTGTCAGATTGGCAATCTGGGAATTAATAAATAGAAATTCTTCGGAATTATTTTTTCTCGCTCAACGGTTGAAATTTGTTGAAAAGTGAAATTATATATTGACAATATCACTGTCATTCAATCATATTTAGTATAATTTGGAAGATAATTATTATAAACATAAATAAAATTTGGTATTGGATATTGATATAATTTTTTTACATACTATAGTAACTAAATTATCATTTTTCAATTTATATTTTTATACCCAAGAAGTATAAAAAAAATTGACATCTAATTATTTTGAAATTGGATTCGGTGAATATCGCTGGACTTTTCATTGAATTAATTTGATGATCATATGTTGCTACTTGTTTCGAAAGATATTTTTTAATTTAATTATTAATTTAGTTTGCTATTTCTTTAAAACTATAAAAAGTATTATGTGTATATTAACTGGTATAAAGCTATTTACGAAAAAACAATCTGGTGTAAATGTATGCTATTTCAGTTGGATTAATGGTTTTGAAGAATAATTTTACTGGTTGTAACAATCATATTCAACTCATAGGATTCTCCTCTAAAATATATAAGTAATTTGCATAATTTTAACAACTTTTTTTTGTTTGACAGTATCGAAATATAAAAACTAAATTGATTGCTGAATTAAACCTTTTCTTAAACAAAATAACAAAATATGAACAATTGGTTAATCCAATGAACTAAGAATGGGAAAAATTACGATGACTTTCCTACCCAAATATCACTAAATCTAAATCAAAATATTATCTTCTCTATCTAATTGTCTCTCTTAAGAGGTGAAGTGATACTAGGTTGTAACTAGCATTACAAAAAATAAAAAATGTCTTGATTGAAGTTCTAAATCGTAATTCTCAATGATCACAATTTCATTTGAGAAGCCATAACGTAATAGAAATAAATACTAAACAAATGGTAGGGAACAAGAAGAGGTGGGTAAGAGATAGAAAAAAAGCACTTTTTTTGTGTGCTAGTGAATATGCCAAGAAAGTGGTTCAAATTCTATGGATTTTTTTTATGACTAAATTCAAGTGATATTTTGAGCATGAGCAAAGTTGTCGAATGATACTTGGTGCCAAATTCTAGTGAATGAAGCAAAATAAACGGTTGCATTCGCTTGCCAAACTTAATAGGAAAAGAAAAGTAGCAATTTTTGTATGATGAATGTGAATGTTCCATCTAGGGTTAAAGCACTTTTTCTCCAACGATTATACTTGGTCTAAATTTCAAATTGATTTAATCATTGTTGGGTCATGTGACGTACAAAATTCCTCAATTTTGGAGAATGGGACCCCTCCACTTGTAGTTGAAGAGGTCATCTTCCTCAAAGTTCATGCCTCAATCACACTCTTGCTAAGAGTAGTGTTGGAAATGAAACATCATGGTGGTAGAAGAAGCACATTGTGAGAATCTAGGAATAAAAAAACACCTTGCGTAGAAGCACTCGATTATTTTGTAGTGGGTAGTATCTAGTAACTTCAGGTTTTTTTGCAGCTATTGTTTTCACATTCCTCGTACTTGGGGTGATGACTTTGTCAAATACGAATCATTTCCTAATTTTAGGGCCAAAAACTAACATCAATATTTGGTGTTGGTTTCCACGTTTTGTAAAATTGTGCGATTAACAAAGTTGGTTCCATCCTCTTTCCTGGTTTAGGTCACATGCAATACAAAATTAGTATTAAACATTATGTTCAAGTGCTTCAAATCAATATTAATGATGAATTAATGACATAGTTAGCGGTTAACAGGCATACAACTTAAATTTATTAAATTTTATTTTTTTATAAAGTATTTTGATTTATCACCAAATATAAAAATATTAAATACAAACTACTGTGTTATATATTTGGTGTACGAGATGTGATTTGCTCATATCATGCCTAAGTTAATGATCTTCTTAAAGTTGACTTTGGTCAACGCTCATGAATTTGGACCTCCATAACATTCTAGCATGTCACCCAAGCCCAATCCACAACAGCTGTTCTTTTATGGGATTTTATTGTTGTTAAAATTTATTAAAAAATAAATTCAAAGAACAATAAAAACTATATATTTTAAAACATAAGTTGCAAGTGTTCGATAGGATTCTTATCCATCATAATTTTATTTTTAAAAAGTTTATTGGTGGATTCAGAGAGAAAAGTGTATTTCTTAGTGAAGTGAAACTTTATGAACAAAACGCAAATACTTCAATCGAGAACTAAGGAATATGTATAAGTGGAGTTTTAAAGTTTTCGTCCGTGATGATTTTATCCTTAAAAAACATTTCAATGACTTAAGAAAGGTGAGTATATTTAAACTACCTTTGACATCGACTCAACGTGAGACTTCGTCAATGTAGCGTAACAATTTGAAATTTGGATACAAGTTTCTAGAAAAAAAAAAAAAAAAGAAGATATAACTTTTAGTGAGACATGGTGAAGTACATGAGTGTGACTAAAGGTATAGTGGAAGATTATTTGGTATATCTCATGTGTGTTGATGGTGATATTTCAGTAAAAATGTGACATGATGAAAGAGTGGTTGATCATGTACTTTTCCTCATATTTTTGCCTCCCACTTAGGCAGAATTTTATGCCTCAAGCCTTGCTTTATAAGAGGAAATTAATTTATAAAAGTTTTATTATAACTTCTTTTACTTGTATATAAGTTAATTTCAACTTACGGAAAAATCTCTCTCTCTCTCTCTCTCTCTCTCTCTCTCTCTCTCTCATATATATATATATATATATATATATATATATATATATATATATATATATATATATATATATTTGGAATAACGTGTGAAAAAAATTGTACCAAAAAATTCTGTGTGGTAATTAGTGAATTAGGAGTGTGAGGAGACCACGCATGGGTTTAGGGTTCTTTCCCACCCAACTCCACCATCTTCTTCCCACCAATTAAAGTACATAGTACATCCTTTTTCCTTGTATGCCTTTGTATTATTAGAGCATGGCATGTGAGAAAAATAAAGCAGATTTTCTTTTAGGGAGGGTTTGATAATTAGAAATAGAGTGGAAAGAAAATTATTTGTTGGAGAGAAATAAAAAGAATTTTTTTTATTATAAAAAATATTTAAAACTTATAAAAAAAATCTTACCATGATTATACCCTTATGACTAAAGTTAAATATATAACATAATTGATTATGTTGTTCTCTTTGTTATTTTTTCACTTTTTGTTTTCATAATTTTGCTTAAAATAATAATAATAATAATAAATATCATGGATTTTAACATTTATTATTATTATTTTTCTTTTCTCTTTTTAAAAAAAAAAAAAACTAAACCAATTGTTAAGAGTGTTTGATTGAAAAAAATAAAATAAAAGAAGAAAAGGTAAATGAAAAATAAAAACGGTTTAATTGAGAATAAATAGAAAAAAAATATATAGATGAAAATTAACTTTTTAAGATTATTCTTTATTAAAAATATGTTATTTTCATCAAAAGAAAATTTATTAATTATATTTTAAAATTAATTGATTATATATGAACACTTCAAACAAATCTTCTTTTTTAGTGTGAAGTTTTTTTAGACAATTAATCTTACAAATCTTCTTTTTAATAATCAACTTTCACTTCTTTAATTCTACCTTTAAACTGGTCTAGTTAATAATTAACGGTTTGTTATTTTTCCTTGTTTAAATGACATTCATGGAACCTCTCTCTAAGTCTAGCTTATAATTAATAGTGTTTTGTTTTCCTTTTTGAATGACATTATTGAAACTTTCTCATCATAAAAGGAAAACATAGAAGGAATTTGGGTGGTGGGTTGAGTTTAGTTGGAAGCATTTGAAGAATAAGCACACATTGAATAATTCATGCATCAATGATAACAGTTTTCGCATAATGATTCAATGATCATTTATAATAAGTTGATTAAAATGAGTTTTGATTTGTTAATGTATAAACTGCTAATCAATGGTTAAATTAAAGCACCCAAATGTCATTTCAGCTGAGAATCACAATGAAGCATCACAACTTGGTGCTTCCTTCCAATTATATGAACAGGAAACACATTGAGAAAGGAGGAGTGGGGTCTCTTCTCTCTGCTCAGAGAGAAAAAGGGTCTTCCTCAAGAACAATAAGACAGCCAATGATTTTGTCCCCTACCTGTTTGATTCTTTCATAAAATATTTGTGTGGAAGTGCTCCACATGATTGCCTGCTTCTTTCCGTATAAGAAATGTTAGAGAGAGCAGTGGTACTGTCTTTATTCTTGGTTTCTTTATGTGCTTTGGACCATTAATGTCCACACACCAAGACAGTTTGGCAATAAAGCTTACCAAATAACATGTCACTAGTTTCCATTGAAAGCATAGCATATTCATATTTAGAATAAGAAACAGTGAGTCTTCTGTATGTGACCCACATTCAAACTCTCCTACATCACCCAACTAATTCCTTTGCCCATTTTTCAACAGAAGTGGAATTCAGAGATTTGACCATGATACACTTTTATGTAGTACATATAATTATATACACACACAGACATACATAGTCTAATTTATATTCTCCTAGCTAGTTGGGGACCATTCTAGTTTGCGATTTTGGTTTGGATCTTGGCAAAATCCAGGGTCTTTTTGCCTTGTAACTTGTTTGTTACATAGTGTTTACTGTATTCCCCATGATTGTATCTTCTATACTTGCATGGGTGGTTTTCATCCACAAATTCTGGCATTGGACCAAGCTCTACCTCATAGCTAGGAGCAAAAAATGTCACAATTGAGAGTCTATCTTTCTCCTCGTGAGCAACTGCTCTATGCTCCACACTCCTGTATTTTCCATTTGTGAGAACCTGCATGATGCAAATAAGGATCAAATCCAGGAGAGAAGAGAGCGCAAAACATTAAAAAGGGAAAGACAAGTAAGTGAAACTACCTGTTGTGTAACTAAAAGTTCTGTAGACAAAATATAAAAGGAAAAGAAAAAAGTGAAGTAGTGGCCTTACTTCTATTGTGTCTCCAATGTTGATGACAAGTGCATTTGGAATTGGTTGAATAGGAACCCATGTATTGTCCTTGAGTATCTGAAGTCCCACTGGGCCTCCTTTTGCTTGCTGCAGCACAGTGAGAGCACTTCCATCTGAATGGGGACTCAGACCCAAAACAAGGTCCGGTCTGGAACATGGGGGGTAGTAGTTCATCCTTATGGCTTGCACTGATACACCAAACATCTTCTCAAACACATCCCCTTTCAAATCCAGGCCTAAAGCTATGTATGTTAGCAGACTGTGGCACAGTTTTCTTATTTCTCCTGAGTACACTTCCACCGTTTCACTGCATGAGTGTGTAAGCTTTTTAACTACCAGAAAAACATAGGACTACATGAATAAAAATATCAACAAAACTTAGACTTAGTTGTTTAACTGTTTTTATTGTTGTTTCTTGTTTGTAAGTTTCTCCTTATGATTCAAATAAAAATATTTATATTATGAGATAACAATCTAATTTTAATTCAAGAACAACATCAAATGTACTTAAAAGAGTTACGATTTGTCTTACAAATATACGGAACTACTATGTATGTTACCTGAATCTTTCTGGTCTCTTTGGCCATAGATTTGGGTTCCTAAGATATTGAGGTTCAAGTCCAAGAGCAAACATGTTGCACCAGTCCAACTTCTGGTCCTCTGAGAAAACAAAAGCTTGTCCATACCCTTGGACAGTACCTGGAGCCATAGGGTATTTCTGTTTCTCTTCCAAAGGTAGCATGAAAAACTCCCTGCTCAGGTTCTCTATGCTCTCTAGCAGATTGTGGTCAATCTCATGATTGATTACCTAACGACCACTAGTAACATTAACTTTCACAAAACAATATGCCGCAAAAAATATGTGCGTGTAACTTTGGTAAGTTAATGAAAGTCTAAGCAGTTATGAAACAGTATTAGTTTTGCTAAGAACCAAATGGTATTCACCTGAAAAAATCCCCACTCTTCACAAGCAGTTGCAAGACTGAATATTTCACCAAGGACTTCCTCGTTGTTTCCTTTGGAAAGCTTAGAGAAATCAATGACAGGCATGTGAGTATGTGGTGGGGGAAGAAGTGTAGCAGTAAGTGTTGGCCTTTCTGTCATGTCTCGTACAAATCTTTGAGGAATTGTTTTTGGCTTAGTTTTTCTCAGCTCTTGGACATCATCAATGTGCCCAACTTTGATGGGAGAAATGGGTACTGGAGGCATTGAAGCAGAATCTGGACCTTCACTTTTCACTACACACTGCTTATAATTCTTCATCTCAACCCTCTCAATCATGTATTTATAGTGGAATTTAGACCTTTATGACGTTACATAATAAAAGATTGTGCCTAAGTAATACCAAGTCATAATTATGCATAATTGGCACATGAATCATGAGGTTAAATGAAATCACTCTTTTTTTTTTTTTTTTTTTAAACCTTTTAGAAAAGGTTTGATGAAACCTTATGACAATTAATTATGTACACTGTAAATAGTATCAGTTTCACAAAAATTTAAAGAGTAGTTCATAGGGTCCCACAAACAACAAAAACCTCTGTTATAATAATAATTTTCCTAAAAAATCAATCTTATTTATTAATATTGTAAAAGTTTAACCTACTATCTAGTCACAAATTATTGTCTAATGACATTTAAAATGTATAATAATTAAATCCTAATGAAATTTGAAGTGAGATGTAACATTAAATATCAACCTCTGATCAGAGTTATTTTTACCAAGTCAAAGTTTAAACAATACTTTTTTTAGGAAAAAAATATTATTTAGGTAAAATTTTCATTAAATTACAAATTATCATACATAATAAGTTAGTTTTTTTCTTTAAATAAAGTCAGTTAAGTTTTATAATAATTATTTTAAAAATCATATAAATAATAATTTATGAACAGATGATGATGATGTAAAAATAAACTATATGATTATTAAATTCTATTTTATGATATCTAACTTTCTAGTTCAACCTCACTGGATTTGCTTTCAATTATCACCTCCTAATTGAATCAGTCAATATAATCTCACTACATCAATTGAAGTACTTTGCTATTGAACTCTCATTGCTATTTTACCTTCTTAGTGATCTATAAATACCAATGCAAAATCTCTTTAAAGTTGGTGACATAGTTAATCCTCCATTTGGAGCAGTTTGGTGGGGAAGAAGACAAGAAAGTAGAGACTGATTTGCAAGTTGGAGAAGTGACCAAGAATACATCACACCATACTTCCAATGCCATTATGGATGATTGATTGATTGGCTTTCAAATCATTACTATGGACATTTGGTGCATTTTTGTGACTCCAATATAAATTATTCTCCAATCAATGCAGTTTAAGAGCCACAAAACTCTCTGCTAATGCCTTTTTTTTTTTCTGTCAAGAAAAGGAAGAAAATATCTATGCAAGTGCACATGCCACATGGTAAGTGGTGTAACATACACCACGATGCAAGTGCCACAAAAATTTAACAGTTTTAAAACCTTCTCTCTTTCTATGCTATTGATTTGTTAAATAATTTATCAGTCAAATGAATGAATGACATGAAACTTTAGTTGAGTAATGTTATAGCCACAAAACTACAGCATCAACCACATGATGAAAAGGGCCATGGTTTATTAAGAGGAGGATTAATTACATTGACACTCCTCAATATATTTTCTTACATAGCATCTTTTTATTCTTTAATATAAACTGCATTAGCAGTGTACACCATTAATGTAATTTATTCTAATACCTCATAAGAAAGTGAGATTAATGTTGTTGCAGATATAGGGGGTTCTTACTTGAATTGGAAGGCATGTGAGTGATGTTAGGAGCATTGTGAATTGTCTCCCTCAAAAAAATGCCCCCATTCTGCAGACAAAATCTGGTGTAATTTGTGATGGTGGCTTTGTCCACCCTCGCATGTTTAAAGCCCCTTACTTTTCTCCCCACATGCCACCAATCACTATTTACAAATGGCTTTTGGGAGTTTTAGTCTCACAAGTTTTCTGATCTCGGCAATCAAACCAACACAAACAAACAAAGCGTTGTACGTGGACACTGCCACTGAAGGATATACATACAAACCGCATGCTACTATCTGTGTCTACTGAAATGGAAATATCACCACATAAAAGTAAGAGGCTCTTGGAATCATTGAAAAATTACACACAAAAAACAAGCAATGCTGTAATTGCTTTTCCTTTCTCCTCACCAGTTTTCTACAATTTGGTGCTGCAACCATTTAAGTTCACTGCTCGTGGACACATTGCACCAATGCAAGTTTGGTACCTTTCTTATTCTAAAAAATAGTTACAACACTCTTTTCGAAATTTTGGCTGAAGTAGAAATCGATCCATTATTTCTAAATATTTATATTTTAATTAAATTATGATAAAATCGAAAAAATTTTAAAAATATTGAAAAACAAGATAAATTTATTTGTTAAATCGATATTCTTAAAAAAAATATTAAGATCAAATTTTTTTTATATAATTTTTTATACAAGATATAATATATTTTATTTATATTTTTTTCATTTTATACATCGATTTTAAATAATAATTATTTTATTTTAGCAATTATTCATCTTATATTTTTTAATATATTTTATATTTATAATATTCATTCTAATTTATAATGATCATAATATTAATTTTTATTATTATTTTTTATAAAAATATATTATGGCATATGTTTATTATATTATAAAAATATTATTTTATCAAATTCTACAAATCGAATTAAATCTTTTAATTTTAAACTCATGTCTTTCTTAATTGGCTCACTGATCTATACTATTTAACAATCCAATAAACTAGTTTTATATGTATAAAAATAATTTTCAAATTATATATAATCTGGTTATTAACAATTTTTTAAAAGAGAGAAGACTAAGGTAACAAAGTTAAGAATAAAGTATTAATATATATATATATATATATTAATAAATAGTTATTGACTATTAGGTAGTATTAATTTATCAATTAATAATATACCTAAAAAACAAGAACACATGTCAGATCAGGACCATATTCATATTTCCAAATTCACACATTAGACAATGACATAAAGAATACCAAACTTTAGGTCACAAAAGACAAATTATTTGGTCTATTAGAAGGAAAAAATGTGTTTATTTATTTATTTTAAAAGAAAATTTTTATTTTCAACAATAATAATTAAGTATTGTAATAACTACAAAATTATTACTTTGTTTTAAAAGTTTCATTACTTTTTCCTCAAATATAAATGAAACTAATAAAAATATTTTATTATTATTTTATTTACTAACAAATAAAAAAATTCGTTTTACTCATTTTTGTATACCTAATTGACTTAATTGCATGTAAAATATTAAGTTGACTTAATTGCGATTAGTTTATAAACATGTGGTTTTTAATACCATTATATAGCATTAAAGAAGCATAAAATTTAGAAAAAAATTAAAGCACATTTTATACTTTAATGAAAGTCTTATTATTAATATGAATGATTGCTACTAAATATATATGCTTTATGTAAAATACTATTAACTAACCAATAAATCTTATCATTAATATAAATATAAATTTCAAAAGGAATATACACATTTAGTCAACTTGAGAAAACTCTAAAATATAAAAATTGGTCTTCAGAGTATATCAAATGTAATCTTTTAAATCTAAAGATGTAATAATAAACTTTATTGAAAAATTTAAGCCATGATACGAGTAAAAAGAAGATACAATTAAGGAATTTTTCAGCAATATGCTATTAATTAGCTGAATTTAAAAAAAAAAAAAAACGATTCTTAACCTCATGAGTGGTTGCGGAATATGTAAAGTTTAAACTTCACTATGAGCAAATCCTTTATCATGATAATCCCTTTGGAATAGAATTCAGAAAAAATAACTCAGCTTTGAATTTGAATGATTTCATGCTAATATTCAGTATCTTTTTTGATGAATAAAATACTGAAGTAAATGAAATGAGATTCTTCGTTCTATTCTTTTACATATCATTCATCTTTGAATTTTTATTTTTTATTTCTACTTATTTTTAAAGGAATATGAGATTATTAGGTAACCTTTGTGTTTTTTTATCCCTAAAGAAATAATTTATAATATTATAGAAAATGATAGCTTATCTTGAAAGGTTTGAAATTTATTGAAGCATCTTGTTATGGGTTTAGGTAGGAATCATTTAGTTAAATTGTAGCATTAGTAATTTGATGCCACTACAAGATTCGTTTGAAGATTATCATCTTCATCATCATCATCTACAACAAATTAAATGCTGATTCATTATCCTGTTATCTCTTCCCAGAAACTCTATATTAAAGGAAGTGGCTGGTTTCACCAAATTCCACAATTTTATCATATTCTTAAGTTTAGTAGTTCTCAATCACAATTAGGGTGTTGATGATCATGATGAATAATTTGATAAATTTTAATTACGAATTATAATGGATCGGATAAAAAATAGTTTTTTTTTTTTTAACTTTTATCTATCTTGTATTAAGAATTTTTTTTAATCCTTCCATTAATAGGTTTTTAATGGATGGATATCTAATTTGTCTACAAAATAATAATAATAATAATACTTTGACTAAAATTAAGTTAAAGACCAAAATTAGTTGAAAGATGACTAATCTAAACTCAATAAAAAATGGCTTTATAGAAAGTTTATTCAAACACCCATATCATAATTATTTCATGTGTTTTGCAAAATCTTTCATAAATTTGGACATGAATCCAAGAATTTTCTGAATCAGGTTTAATTTCTTAAAAAGTGAAAAATGGATAGATACATGAAAACAAACACTTTTACAAGACATTATGATTGAGAAAACAAACACTTGACATTGTAGAACATGACAACATAAACGAATTTCAGATTAAACCATCCCTAACGACAATAAAAGGGACAGGACAACATAAAGTAAGAGCTCAACTTTGATCCACTCTTTTAAACTGTCATTCAAACATGTCTTGTCATTTTAACGAAAGAGTTTTGACTTCTCAAGTAGTTGTTAAAAACAAAATTTCCAGTATCTCCGATGATACTGTGTAGTGTACTTCTCAAAAATGAATCAAAACTAAATGAAATAAATTCTCATAGTAGTCAAAACAGGAAAATCTTGCTATCCTTCCTTAAAAATGCTAATATTTCTCACATGATGCCATGCAAAAGATACCAATGACACCTCAAATTGCTACAACTAACCAGATTCCAAATACTAACAATATGTCCTACAATACATAACAAACATGGAGGAAGGTGACCAACAAATGGAACATTAAGCAAAGAATTGGAATCAGAAGTTCAAGAAATGCTTGGTAGCGCACACACACAAGGAAAGTTTCTGCACGGATTTCTATTCATTCAAAACTTTGATATGATAACATAAAAGGAGAGATTGTCATCAAGAATGGACCTATTATAACTATATAAGTATCCAAAGCTCTCAAAAATGGTTGCCTAACATTGCAGACTCTATATTCTTGTTCCTGGGGCTCCAGGTGATTGGAGCAAAGAATGTGGCACTGAACTAACATAATATGATATTCATCTGGCATCACTTGACAGCCAGGAATCTCTTCCCTCTTTCTAACCCATAAAATTTAAGGGTGTATGTTGTACCCTATCCATATTAAGAAAAACCTCAAATGAAAATCTGTTACAAAATTTTCTAATCAATCACATTTTGTACAAATGTACACAAGGTAACAGATCGCCTTCAACCTGCGGCCTTAGCAGGTTTCTAAGTGCTAGTCTTGGTAGATATCTTTTAGCCTCTTCCTTCACAATGCCATCTCAGTAGTGAAGTAAAAAAAAAAAAAAAAAATTAATTATATACAGGACCAGGTTAATCTCTAGCACCACCAAGACCGGCACGACTTATGGCTTTTGTTGCGGTCCAAACCAGACGTACAAGCTCGTCTACATCCTGGAAGCCGAACTCAATAACACTCCTGATAGAAGCTATACAGTCCTTATTCCGTGCTTCTTCCATGATCACATTAGCAGCCGTGAAAGTGTTCTGACATTTTTCAGAAGCCTCCATAGCAAAATGTATGTCCTTAGTCTGCAAAAGCGCAAAGAACTTAGACCCAATTTTTCATAAAAAAGTCTATGTACTCAATAACTACACAATCTAGAGGAAGAGCCCTGGCGTAGCAGTAACATTGCGCTTGGTGACAATTTGGTCATGGGTTTGAACCCAGAAACCTCTTTGCATATGCAAGGGTAAAGCTGTGTCCAATAACCCTTCCCCATATCTTTGCATACCGAGGAAACTTCTGGAACTGGCTACCTTAGTTTTTAGTATTTTAATAATTACACAAGCTAACTACATATATTGTTGAAATTTTGCCACCACCTGTCCACCAAAATCTAAAACAGGCATTGCATTAAAAGTTTCCAAGAGTAAAGTAACAGTTGCCCATATGACAGCAGAACATGCTTCTTCCATAACAGAATCACTCCGATTAAGCAATGGAAGATTGACTAAGGATTGAAATCTGAGCCACTCTAGCATGGCAAAAGCAGCTGACATCCATCCCAATTTTCTCTCAAACAACCAAACCAAATTTCCAACTACTATTTCCTACCAACAAACCTTTAGATCCCCAACAACAATCCTTGGTACTTTAACATAAACATACCGAGATAAACTTCCAAATAAAATATAAGGTTTGTCAACAATTAAAACTTACGAAATCAAGAAGCCTGATTAAATTTGGATGAGTTCGAGCAGATATGACTTGGTTGATAGCAGCATGAGTATTAGTACCCCTAGGCAAAGTAGCCTTATCTGCTGCTGCCTGATTGTATAGGTTATCAACATCGGATGCAGAAGATGAAGGAGATTCACCTAAACAATAGATTAAAAAAGCAGTGCTACATCATTGACTTGGATCACTTAATACATGCATGCAGTCATCAGACAAGCCTATCTGGACTGGGCCCATGAATGGTTTTATGTTTAACACATTTCATGTAAACAGAAAAATAAATTTTGATTTTGATTTTTTTAGTTTTGAATAAAATTAGTTTGTCTTTTAGATTATAAAAGAACTACTACATCACTAGTTAGCTTTAAGCTTTTCATCATGTGTAAATGTATCATTCACTAATTTTGTTTATCTTCTGGTGGAAGTACACAAGTATAAAGAATATATTGCAAAATCAACTTACGACAGTACCTGACAAGCCTGAAGACTTAAACAGTTGAATGAAAACTATGTTCCAATACCTTGAGAAACCATTTGAAGAGTTGATTGTAACTCATGTCGATCTCTGTTGATACTGGAATTTTTACAGTAAACCACTCTCATGTATGCTACCTCCATGCATTTATATGCCAAAGCAGCAGCAGCCATTTCTTGCCGAGCTTCATATTCATGGGCACAGCATCTGAAAACATTGAAGGTATTGTCGGATTAAAGGCCAACAGCATAGAACAAAAGAAAGATAATAGTGCAAGTTGAACTGTGCAACAAACCTCAGAATTTTATTTAATGGATCAATTTTTATTATTATTATAATGACATTCGTTCACCATGCATTGCAAATTTACGATTAAAATGTTGTTACAAGCCCTAAATTTTCAAATTAAAAAGCATCACCTAAAAAGTCTATAATATATATATATATATATATCAGGCCAGCTAATGAGTTGAAAACCTGAAAACCAAAGCTAGAATTATTATATATGAACCAGCCAAAAATTTTAGCTGATTAAGCTGTTAATGAACCAAGAAGCCAGGAGCCCCCTCAAACTGACACTCACTTCTGCCTATTTATAAACAGTCAAGTTGCATTTCTCAAACTATTTTCACTCAAAATGTACTTCTGATCAATAACGGAACTAAGGTCACAATCTAAGATCATAAAACAATAATAAAATTACTTGGAGCTTCAGAATATTCTGCTTACTTGAAAAGTTTGGCTGCAGTAGAAAAAATTTGCATTTGACTCATTTCCCCATGCTTGCTAATTTCATTGTGACAATTTTCTAAAAGAGACGCTCCATGCAGAAACTTCACACCAGCTTGAAAGTATGTCTCATTGCTTTCAAAGGCAAACCCAGAGTTCTATAAAATGACATTATTTACACCATCAGTTAGAAAAGGAGATATGCTAGATCAAACCAAATACATTAAGTAAATATTAAAATGATCAACTGACCTTATAATTATCTGCTCTTTCTTTTAATTTTGCAGCTTCTTCCAGGGTGTCAACAGAAGTTTGGTTAAAATTTGTTCTCACAGGACTTGACACAGTGGGTTGCTGATCAGGTACAGAATTTCCAGAACTACAATTTGCCGCAGCATTGTTACTAACATTAGCATAATTTCTGATTGAATTGACCAAATCACTATTGCCCAAAACCTTGACAGGATGCTCATTAGACATGCTTCCCTTTTGATACTGAGGTACAATTCTAGAACCCACACTCAATGCTTCCCTCTTTACTTCCCCTGCTGCAGATGAGGGAACTTTTGATTTCACAACTCTTGATTCTTCGATTACATGATTAACTTTGACTTTGTTTTCTTCCTCAAGATCATGGGTCGGGTTTTGCAGGGAGATAGTCTTTCTCTCACTGCTGCATTGAGCATCCATATTTGGGACTGAACTCTCAAAATCTCTTGGTTTTATCTCAGTTTGCTTTCCAGTTTCATTTAGCTGATGTCCTAAAGCACTTTTCTGACTAAAACTGTTAATTTCACTTTTAGACTTGGGGAAAGTATATTTAACAACATTTTTTGTCTCAGCACCTGATGCATGGTTACTGGGATTAACTACTGAATCATACCTCCCACCTTTCTTTGAATAACCATCAGTCTTTGCAACTGATATCTTCATGTTATCTGTACCAACATGAGAACCAAACTTTCTGCCTTTCTCCCTTTTTTTCAGCACCTTACCAGATTTCTGCCAAGAAAGTTCACTTTCCTGGTTTTCCTTGTTTACTTTCTCCTCATGGTGTACACCATTAGCACAATAGCCAGGTTGTTCAACACAAACACCACCTTCAATATTCTTTAGTTCAGAAGGTTTTTTTGCTTGGAGCCTGGATGTATCTTCAGCATCCTCAACCTGGTACTCTATTGAAGATAATTTTTGGGATGCATAATGTAAATCATGCGGAACTCTACCCTCCTTCAATTTTACTGATAGCTTTCTCTCCCTATTATTCACATTTCTCTTGGAACCTACTGAAGAGAGGCAACCTTTTGTAACATTGTCTTTCACTGAAGTGTCTCCTAGTGAAAAATTATTCTTATCCATGTTGAAGGCCCTCAAAGGTGAGGAGGTAACAGATTCAACAGGTGAACCTCTCACATCTCCAAGCTTGGTTTTAGCTTTATGAGAACCTGAGACTTTTGAAGAGCTTGAAGTTGCTACCAAAGAATGTGGTCTAGTGCTCAAATTCTTGCCCAATTGATCAATACCATCTGAAGCGTCAAGAGATGCAACATTTTTTCTATGCTTCCTTAGTTGGTTGCCTTTATCACCAAGTCTGACTTCTGTGCCAATAGCCATTTGGTCCCCATTGCCTGCCAAGCAAACTTGCCTCATCCCACCCTTGCTTAATTTATTGTCACCTTCAGTTACTGACTTTGCCTTTTTATTCAAAATTCTGTATTTCTTTTCCTTGCTAAATTCATTTGTATCACCCTCTTCACCATACTGCTTTTCATCATCCGGCCCGTCCTTCAATTTCCTTTTCTTCGTTAAACCAGATGAGCCCTGAGCCTGATCTACCTCTTTCGTTACAGTGACTGGTAATCTGTCCTGTGCATCCTCAGATAAACAATATTCATCATACTTTCTCATATCCTTTCCACTAGCTTTTGTTGGCATACCGTTTCTTGAATATACAGACACCTTCTCAAGGTGCATGTCAGGATTCAATTGTTTATTAACATAGAAAACATTTTCAGTTTTAGATTTCTTGGGAATTCCTGATTTGTATTGATCAGCATCCAGCTTCCGTTTCAACTTAACATGCTTTCTATCATCTGTCCATGAGTGAAAATAAATTGAAAATATCAATTAAGAATACCTGTAATTTCTTATTAATAAAAATAAATGACAACATATCGACTCTGAAATGAATGAGCTACCTCCATTTACTTTCTTTTCATTCTCTTTAGGCACATGTTTCTCTTCTATCATTTTGTCAGGCTTACCAAGCTGTTTAGAAGAGCTCATCTTCTTCATTGGGTTAAAGTCAGCAGGATGCTGATTCAAGCCATTCAAGCTTCTATTTTTTCCAGATACCTGAACATTGGCCTTCACTGAATTTGAGAACCGACGCATGTCATTATTTATTCCTGAAATTGCCTTTTCCTTAATAACAAGTTTCTTCCTTCCTCTGTCACACATATCAGAACTACACATATTTTGATTTAGGCCATATTGAAAAGAATTAGTAGAGCTAACTCCAAGTGCAGTTTCAGTGCCATGGCTTTGAATGTTACTTTGAACCTGAGAAATTGGCATTTGATATAAGGCATAGAGTGCTTTTGTTGTCTCATCCTCACTGAACTCACAAGAATTCATCCCAGGCCTAGTAACGAATTTAGAGAACAATGAGAAGGCAATAACACAAAGAGCACACAGAAATGCACACAGAGAGAAAAATTAAAATTGAAGTATAGTGCTCATATCAAATCAAGATAGTCCTCAAAATTGATTATAATACAATACATATACTACGCATATATCTAGCATAACCCGGTCAAGCATATTTCTAACCAAAATGAGCAATCAACTTACAGCCAATTTAGCATGCTACACAGCCATTTCTCTGGAAGATGCTCAGGCTTCGTACCAGTAGGTAGTAGCCGCCATTTCTGGCAACTGTCACAACATACCCAATCTTCTGCAATAAGCTGAGGAGCAGCTACTGCTGATGAAATCATCTCAGGTGCAAGGTTGCTTTCAGCAATAGGAAGTGAAGCTGATGTCTCTTTAATGCATGGCCCAGCTTGCGGGTTGACCACTTTATGGCCAGTCATTCTCTCCTTTACTTTAGACCCAAATGCATTGTGTTTTCCATTACTAATTTTAGCATTTTTTATTGCACCATTACCAACAAGACTGTCAACCTTCCATTCTGATCTTTTTTCTTTCATTGAATCCCTGTTACTATCACTGCACTTTTGGTCCATCGGTGACCTTGACTTCATTTTACTTCTACAAGCATTGTCAAAGCTAGCACTCCCTTTATCAATCACCATTGCATTATTAGTACCACCAAAGCTATCTTTTCTTGCAACAGCCTCAGATTTTCCAGCACTTTGATCACCTATTGACTTATTCTTCCGCTCACACACAGCCTTTACCTTCTGATGGATCTCAGACTTATGATCTACCTTACATTTTACATCACGTTCAAACTTATTGGAAATAATGGAATTACTACTCGTGTTATTATTCTTAGGGTTCATAGAATTATCCTTGTGGGAACTTTCCAGTTTATGCTCTAAAGCAGTTTTCATAAAACCATTTCCTGCAGTTTGTTTTACAGTCTTCCCAAAATCTTGACCAGATATTGATTCCAATGACTCTTCCTTCAATGCTTCTTCAGAAACCATTCTACCTTGCACCCCATTTTCATTAACCTTCTTGGAGGGTTTAATCGCTTTAGCAGTGCCTTCAGCAGTTTCACCAGCATCACAAATTGAACTTGACAGAGGTGTCCATTTCAATTCATTAGAGAGGAAATCTTTATGATCTGGTGTTCTATTTCGTAATTTTTTCTTTTTATGCAATGTAGTATCCTTCTCAGAAAGGGTGCCATTCGGATGCTTCAATTCCAATTGCATGTCACTTTGTCTCACTATTCTCATCATGTTCTTCGAATGCCCAGCACCCACAAAAGAATCTGATTCATCAGTAGACATGGAACAAAGATCTTGACGACCATTAAGAGAGGATGAAATTCTGTTATCTCCAATAACTTTATCATTTTTCATCAGGTTGAGCACAATTTCATGTAGAGGAGATATTAGAACACCCCCAGGGATAGGAAAAGAAGTCATAACCTATGCCATGAAATAAGAAGTTAACATGTCAATCTTTCTGATGCTATTAAACAGTATGAAAATAGAAAAGGTCCTCTACCTGAATAATGCCAGTTGGAGAATCTTCAGCACTCTCTTGATATACAGGTGGCATGCCTTCACTTTCCCCAGGGCTGTTCCCCATTGAGGAAGAGGGAGAGTCATCAAGTCCAAGGCCACTATAAATTTCTGCATTCTTTTGTGCTAGGATATTAGATTTCATTTTGATTCGAAACTTCAGTGTCCTTTGGTCAGTTGAATTCTCGGTAATTTTTGTAGTAACATGTTTCAAAGTGCACCTCTCAGCTATATCACCGGAAGAAATTCCTTGCTCTTTCTTCACTAAATTATTTACTGAAGCTTCTCTTAAATCACGGAAAGGATGTGAACTACCAGAGACATTTTCAGGCCTTGTTGGAGGAGGCACATTTGTAGGTGCTTTTTTGTTATGAGACACAGCCTGTATAAAAAATATAGCTGAATAACTCAATCAATCTGTATTATTTCTATGCTGAAATATATTGGCAGCATATATTACCTTACTATTAAATAGTAAAATAAAGAAACAAAAATATTGATATATGTCTATACCTCCATGTGGAGATTGTTATTAAACTTTGGTGAGTTGTGATTTCTTTGTGGAGTCCTTGGATGAGACCGTATACAAGGAGAACGCTCTTGGGTAGGTAAAAAGGAACCATAGCCACCAAATTTTGCACCTGAAAAATATTATACATAACAGATAACATCACTTCATCAATGCAAAGATAACTCTTTCATTTCTCAATACATGCTTCGACATTAATTAATTTACTTACCCAAATTCTCAGCAGATACACCACCTTCAAATTCCTTTTGAAAATGGCCAAGAAAATGTTGAATCTTTTCATCCTTCAGTAAACAATTCATTAGTCCCAATATTTTTGCGATAAAAAAGGACTTTGAAAGCAAATGTCATTAATCAACAACAATCACCAAGAATATGAAGCATAAGAATAGAGGCACCATAATGATCACCAAGCATTTAAGAATTATCATTATTGCTATTTTTTCATTTGTAGGCAACACTTACATTGTCAGGGGACACAATACAAATGCATATTAACATAGCATCTAGACCAATTTGCACAAGAATGATCTAATGGCATAGAACATTAATCTATTTCTTACTACTTGATGATGGGTGTGGAGTTACTATGTTTATCACACACAATGGACCAGAATTTTAATCTAAATTAGATAAGGATAGAGATACTCTTATTAGCATTTATCAAGGATAGAGATTCAATATGCTTATCAGCACATAAAACACTTAATGCTCTCTGAATAATTTCATTAATGCCAAAATTCCATTGCCATTAACAAACAATGTAGTAATGACTATGAAGCCCCACAGTCAATAGTTGTGTTCAGCTTTTGTCATACTGATTTTGAACATTCAGACATAGCTTTAATTATCAGAAATTCTATGACTCTTTCATTCCCTATTTCCCCGAGGAACCAAATACCTTGATACATTTACTGATACAATTACAAGTTTTATAGACGAGCAAATTCAAATGTAATTTCTCAACAACAACAAAAAATAAAAAATAAAAAATCGAAACAAGTCCTTACAATGTATGAGAAAGAATCAGGGTCAATGTTGTTTTCATCGTCATCCTTGTAATAGCAAGCCTCTCCTTCCTCAAGCTCAGTATCCTCCTTCATCTCAACCACCCACCAGAACTTTCTAGCCCTAGGCCTAACCCCAGAACCCAAAAGGTAATCTTTTCACATTGGAACCTTCCCTGAAGTCCAGCATCACTTCAATCAAACCCCAAAACAAGAGTGGCAAGAAAAACAAAAAACCCAAAAAAACCCAAATGATAAAAAAATTTAAAATTAAAAACCGACCCAACAAAGCAAACGTGAAACCCTCAAAAACCCAGAAGGGAAAACCGATTATTTGCACAGTGATCATGCCATGCGACAACCCTTCATTGATGAAGATGCATATAAACCAGAATAAAAATCATTACTTGCATCAAAAAAATTGATTTTTTTTTGCTTCCACCCACAATCTGATCAATAGAAGAGGCGGTGGAGATCAACGAAACCGATTAGTGACTACTGGAATGAGTTTTTGACGGCGAGTTCAAAACGGATTCCAAATCTTTCACTTGGCTCTCCCAATATTTTGATGTGTGCACTCAACAGAGAGAAAAAAGAGGTTGGGCTTTGGTATCTGAATGAATTTTAATTATTTGGTTCAATCTAATTTCATCACATTTTTTTTTAAATATTTGTTAATTAATGATTTGAGATTTGCTAAATATTTGTGAGTGCCAATAACCGTTTATGAATATGAAATATAATATATAAATAAGAAATATAGTCAAATATCAATATTAATAGTTTATGATATCTTTCTCTATTAATTATATTTTTTGTTTATTTCTATATCATAATTTCAGAGGGTAAAACTTTGTTAATTAAATTTTTTAACACCAGTATTTTAATTTACAATTGTGTTCAAGTTAAACTAAATTATAAATATATATATATATATATATATATATATATATTATAAATTTCTATTTCGGAATCTATATATACAAATCATAATAAGAAAAACAATTATAGAAGTGATTAATTGGTTATCCAAAATACTTCAACTACCACAATCATTTAATATTAGTCAAAATAATAATAAAAAACTTAAATAAATACCAAAAATTTGAGAGGTAATATAAGATTTACTAGTGGTATTAATTTGGATATGTATATATATAAGTTAATTTTTTCTATTGAATAATTAAACCGTACTTTTAATTAAATTACATCCATTTGAATAAATAAACAATAAATAATTAAAGTAGATTAATATTTTTTATGAATAAATAGTAATGTCTATAAATTGTAATTCATAATCTATATTTTTTTCCTTCTTGCTATGCTAGAAAAAAAAATACATATATTATGTAATTTGACTCTACCCAACCCATTAAATTACGGGGACATATATACGTATGAAAAAAATGTTCTTTTGATAACAAAATGAAATAAATGTTCAGACTCTATATAAATATGATACATAAAATTAATAAATTATGTGTTTAAATAAAAATAGTAAAGAATAATTTATATTTTATAAAAAATTTAACATGTGTTTTATATGATAAAAAATGTTGTTAATAGGAAATTTTAAAAGAAATTAGAAGTTTAAAAATTAGGAGACTAATTTAACAACCCTAAAATTATATAATTTTAAATTTTATCTAAAAATATGATTTTAATTGTTTTATTTTCTTATATTAATTTTCTATTTTTATCCATAATTTATTTGGTTTAGAAAGATTTGTAATAGTGATCAAACTTTGGATTATTATTTAAGAAGATTTATCTACAAATTTTATTAAATAAATAAGAAAAAACAATAAATATATTACATAAGTAATTATTTTTTTAAAATAATAATTAAGATAATAATAACTACATCGATAAATTAAAAATAATTCAATACCTTAAAACAGAATTCAAATATAAAAATCATTTTCTTTTATATATTTAAAATAAATTAAAAATTTTAAATTTATATTATCTAAATTACGAGTAAAAAACTTACAAAGAATCTTACATATTTGTTTATAATTAGTTTAAAAAAAATATCAAGAAAACCCAAATAAAAAAAAAACCTCTCACTTATATTAACTAAAATAATATTTATCACTCACATTAAACAAAAATAACTTCAGAAAATGTTATGAACTTTAGTCAAAAATAATTTGATCAACATCACTGAAAAAGTGTCATTCTTATATTTGAAAGTATTAAATATTTGTAATAATAAAGTAATTTTGATATATGGTAATAATTAAAATATTTTATAAAAACATAAATTTATACTTTTTATTAAAACAACAAATTAAGAAAAAAATTAATTTAAAATCAAAATAAATGTAAGTTATAATTATTTAAATCATAAAAAAGTATAGTAATTTTTTTTATTGAAGTAGCACAACATCTAATTCAATTCTTTTCTATGATATAATATCATATATTATTTTAATTTGTTTGTGAATTTATTTATTTATTTTCTTCGTGAAGTTATGATGTTTCACTGTATTTTTTTTAATTACAATGAAAAATAAATTCCAACGTCATTTTGGAATTATTTAAATTAAACTCTACCAAAAATTGAAGAAAAGGGAGAAATTTCAATAACAAGAGTGTAAATAAAAATACGATATAAGTTAAAAAAAAATTGATAGAATATTTTTTTAAAAGACTTCTATATGAATATTTTTTTAATAAATTTTGAATTTTAAAGGATTAATATAATATGAAATCACATCATCCAAAATATATTTATGATTTTATAGAATATTTAAAAAATAGGTATAATTTTGTAACTTAAACTTTTTAATAAAATGCGTATTCTACGTGAAGTTAATTTAACTATAATCAATGTTGATATTAGGGTAAATTATTCAATATGATGTTAATATATGGAGTCATTAGTGAAAAAAAAATTGTTATTTACTATACATAGATGCTAATAAGATAAAATATAAATAATCAAATAGACGAAAATAAATTATGTATATATTAAAAATTTTAACGCGCGATTAAATTTATCTCTAAATCAATCAATTAAAAAAACAATAATTATATATTTAAAATTTATCATATTTTTAATTAATATAACACATTTTTTCATCATAAATAAATATTTTAAGAATATAAAACTGAATATTATATAAAATGAATTTAATTATATAAAATCAAGTTTTTACATGGTATTTTTAATCTTTATTATTAACTTCTATTAAGCTTTCGGAATATATTAGGAGCACAAATTAACCACTATATTAACTTTCTTAACACCGCAAATTAAAGTGAAAAAATTCAGCACATATCACCATTCTCTTTCTCAACCTATATATTATCCTATAATAACAAATTTATAAAAAAGTTAAAACATTTTTTTCTATAAGAATTATTGATTATAATATATTAAAAAATATATGTTAATATAAAGAGCATACATTTTATTTTTCTATCCTTATCCCACTAAAATTAATATAATTTATTTTGTTTACAATACATTAAATACATTTTTATTATTAAATTTCATATGAAGTGATAATTATATATAATTATAAAATAAAAATTAAAGCACTTAATTTCTTTAATTAATATTTTATGATAAAACTATTGATTATTTATGAAAAGCAATATCAAAATTATTTTGTATAACATATTAGAAAACATAAACAAACAACAAAGTATTACAATAAAATAGTGATTACATTATATAACTTAACTAAGTACTCGCAAATAAAACTAATTATTTAAATTTTTTAAAATATTATCTTAATTAATATTTTTTTGGTCTAAATGAATTATTGTTAACTATGAAGACTAAAAAAATAATGATTAGGAAGTGTTTGGTATTTTAAATCAATAAAATGTTTTACGTTGAGTAATAAGACATAACAATATTTACATAAACTTGGAATATATTTAACCTAATATTTAGTGTAAATTAAGTTTTGTTATTCATAATGAGTTAAAAATAAATATCTTATTCTACTGATCTATCTAGTGAGAGGTGAAAAAGAGAGTGGACAAAATAAGAAAAATAAAAAAGAGAAAATAAAATTAAGAAGAAATAAAAAAAGAAAGGAGACAAATAAGAAACTATGTAAGAATAAAGTAAAAAAAACAAGTCAAAATTTGTCAATTTTTTATTTTTTCTTTTCTATTTTTTTTTTATACAAAACTGACCAAACTTAACCTCTGTTTTATTTTTACCAAACAAACCATATAAATATAGTATTTTTTTATGTAACGAAAAAATATTATATTTTATTTATTTATTTTTCTGAAAACTTGGGACTTTCTTTCTCAAACACTTGTCAAAGGTACAGAAGCAGATGACAAACGCAGAAGACAAATACGAAAAAGTTCTTACCTCTTCAATCCGAAAATTTTGATTTGCATGAAATAAAAAATGAATGATAAATTCATCAAATCAAAATCAAAATCTAAGAACAGACCGCACGTGCATTTCGTATGTGACACCTTTTACAGTTTAACTGCCACTTTTATTATTCTATTTTTACAATTTCACAAACTCACTTACTCACTCGCATAATTAATGACCCTATTCCATTTTTTAATTTAAATTTCTATTTTATTTTATTTGTTATTTTTTGTTTTTCCCTTCAGGGATAAATCTCTCGGTTTTCTCAACTAGTTTCTTCTAATTTTTCAATAGGGTTTCGAATTTTCTGTGTTTCCTTCTGAGACTCTCTCCGCTTTTGTTTTATCAGATTTTTGTCCAAATTCGTGGCTCTCTCAGCTTGAATTTGGTAGTTTTTTTTTAGGGTTAGGGTTTTGTGTGTGCTAGTCGATGGATTGTTGCGTGCTAATTTAATTGGGAGTGTTTTTGTTTCCGTCCCGCTTCAGTTTCTTCGTTGCTTCTGTTGTAGAGAGAAATGGGAACTTTCTCCTCTTGATTTTCCCGTCGAATCAAGCATCAAAATCTGAGCTTTTTCTTTTCTCCTGGTGTTTTTTTGATTTGGGGGTGGATTTTTTTGTTCTTTCTATTTTGGGCTTCGTCGTGCATTGAATTGGCGCAGCATTCACTGGAATTTGCAACGTGAGAGCTGGAGAAGCTTCGATGAAGTGGGTATTCTCGAAGTAGCATTCATTTCGAGGTCGAATGTTTAGTCCGAGCATGGATTCTTCAAGGGATGCGGGTGGTGTGGCAGGAACAGTACTAATTCCTATGCGTTTTGTGTGGCCATATGGAGGAAGGAGTGTGGTTCTCTGTGGTTCTTTCACACGGTGCATATTTTGTTGATTGTTGCTTGAACATCTTATTTTTTTGCGTTGAATGTTATGGTTTAGTCCTGCTTATCTCTCTCTTTATCGAAAATTTTATCTGAAAGGTGGTCTGAGCCTCTACCGATGTCGCCTGTGGAAGGATGTCCAACAGTGTTTCAAGTTATTTATAATTTGCCACCCGGTTACCATCAGGTCAGCTTATAATTATGTTACCAGATTAATGGTGCGTGTGCTGCGTTTTATGTTTTGTGGATTTGATAATTTGTATTAGCAGTTATTTAGAGAGAAGTTTTGGTAGCAAATGTACTCTATACTACTGTAACCAAATTATAAAATTCATGGAAGTGCAATAGGATATGGAGCTTGAGGTGTTTTTGCGAAGGTTTATAATGCTAGTTCCTGTTTCTTAACAGTTATTTAATTTTCTTTAAATGTTACTTGGTATTGTCAAGGATTTTTATCTGAGTTTGAGTGTGATATGTGGCTCACATTTGGGATTTAAAGTGGCTGATTGTGATACGTTCTCGTGGATTAGAAAAGATGTTATTTTGAGGAAAATATTCAACCTTAGTTCATTGTGTCTGGATACTTATTATGAAGTTATTTGAATGCAGTACAAGTTTTTTGTTGACGGAGAATGGCGGCATGATGAACATCAACCTTACGTACCTGGAGAATATGGAATGGTCAACACTGTCTTCTTGCCCACTGATCCTAACTACATGCCTGTTTTGACTCCAGATGTTGCACCTGGAAATAGCATGGATGTGGATAATGAGGCTTTTCGCCGAATGGTGAGAATATTTTGTAACTTATTTTCTATATTAAGGTCTTTAATCCAACGATATTATCTATGCAGGCCTATTGAGTCTTCTCTTTGGAATGAAATTAAATATAATCTTTTTGATTCCTCATTTGTTATAACTCATAAACCTGATAACTTAGTATATCTTGTTGCACATGTTGTTCTGTTGGCTCGCATAATATGATTTCTGCTCATGTTTGAAATAGAGGCATAACATGATGGATTGAAACTGCGTGCCTGAACACACAGCAGATGCGAGTTTATACAGGCTTTATTGCATTAATGTTACATAAATAGAAGAAGTTCTGTTTCCTCTAAATCAAATATTATTTGCCTATAAACTGCTATTATAATAAATAAATAAATAAATAAATACATTATATTGTATTCTGATTTTCACCAATATCTTATTTATTTGTGCAAGGCATTTAATTGTTTAGAGTTCGGACTTCATGTATATTATGTTGTTAACTTATAAAACAGGTCCGGTTGACCGATGGTACATTGAGTGAGGTGCTGCCAAGAATATCAGATGCTGATGTACAAATCTCCCGCCAGCGAATTTCTGCATTTCTGTCTTCCCACACTGCTTATGAATTACTTCCCCAGTCAGGCAAGGTTTGGAAATTTTTACCTTGACCTTTTATTTTTGACAATATGAATTGACTAAATTACATCAAATTTGCAAAGCGCAAACTTGAGTTATATAATTACTAATATAGTGACTCCTGGCCACAGGTTGTTGCTTTGGATGTTGATCTACCAGTGAAACAGGCATTTCATATACTGTATGAGCAGGTAACTATATTTGTTTTTCAGATGAATTGAATGTTTCCAGTGTCCTTTTAGCATATATTGAGTAATTTTTCTAGTCATGTGTCATTTACATGCCTTTACCCTGACAAATAGGTGAAAATGAACTCATGCATTTTGAATTATTCTATGGAATTTGAACAGTTATGTTAGAATATTTGCTTTAACTAAGTTTGTCTTTTCCTTATTGCTTCATATGCATTAGCTTTCTTAGGTTTAGTGTGAATTGCAGATAGAAATTTGCATATGCAATTTTTCTGATCTGGATAATTTACAGGGAATTTTCATGGCTCCTCTTTGGGACTTCTGCAAGGGGCAATTTGTTGGTGTTCTTAGTGCTTTGGATTTTATTTTAATTTTAAGAGAGGTATTTCTTTTATATTTTATTTTAATTTTAGTAGTGGTATCATATGTTTAATTATTATTTATATGCATTGGCAAGCTTGTTGAATACAATGTTTTTATGGTAATGTGTTGCGTTGCTGTGAAGAAAGGCTATCATATGCCACATAGATAAAAGAGGTGTGCCAAGTTACTAAACCTGGTATCAAAGGGAAAAGGCAAAAAAGAAAAAATAAGTGAAAAAACAGTCTACCTGTATGACTGAACACGTAACTTGTGCAATCAACTTCTTGCCACAAATATATGTTCAGTTTTGACACTTAATCATCAGTTATTGGCAGGACCAAAGTACTAAAAATGTAGGAATTTTAGTATTGTTGAACCATTGGCTGTGTATCTACAAATTGATTGATTGATTCGGCATTTTGTTTGCATAACCAGCACCAACTTGTTGCTGTAATTTTTCTTTTTAAATTTTTTATTATTTGATGTTGTCTATGGATAAGATGAATTTGAGTAAAATGTCACTTCAAAATTTGAAATCTTCTGTATGTGTCATTTCAAACATTTTATATGCACAAAATTTGAAGCAGTTTGAACTCTTAAAGATGTTGATATTGATATTTATATTTATTTTTATCAGAGTATAATATGATCTGGGTATTAGCAATAGTTGTTGAGAATCAATTTCAAGATTTTGAAAGTATGTTTAGCCTGCTCATTTGAATTGCATAAGTTTCAGATTACTTTGCCATTGTTGCTACAATATACTTTGTTTATCCTTGAAATCATACAAAGATGAGAATATACCATTTTACAACTTGTTTATTCATGACCCTTTTCATAATAGGGAATTTGTATGCGGATCTTCATATGAAAAGAAGTTTTCTCAATCCTACCTTTGAATGAACCAAGTTATAAGATTTGTTCTGTTAATGTCAGGGATATAACAATATTCTACAATAGTTCCATTTGTATGACCATGGTGATATCCACTGCTAATCTGTTACTAACAATGTCCCTTTTGTAATCTGATTTAATTAAGCTCCATGAGGTTCATATTAATAAACCACATTGTCAAAATGGCTCTCCACCAGCAAAATTATAATTGTCTATACCTTTCAAAGAAAACTAACTTCTGTTTTTGGACAGAAACATATATTAAATTTGACGGAAGAGAAAGAAGTAAGTAATTATGATTCTTTGGCAGGGACAAACTAAGTATGCAAAGTCAAAGATGGAAAACATTTTAATATTGAGCTGAAGAAAGGCTTTAAGATACAATATTGTCTAAAAATAAGATTTAGTGGAATAATAACCCCTTGAAAGTGTGCATATTATGATTATGTTCACCAAAGAATTGTATAACTTGTACACTGCTATTTAATGTTGGCCGCCTCCTTGTTGTGAATCAACAAAAATTGTTTTAAGGGAGGACTCTTCATCCTCTACATGAAAATCTCAAAAAGCATTATTCCAGTGAAAAGTAGCTTCCTTGCAATCAAAAGTTTTGGTCTTGGACATAGCTTTGGACATTCTAAGGATTTATCAAGGAGGAATATCTGACATTTTGGGAATTCAGCTACGTTACAACAAAACATACCATAAGAAGCTAGAATCCGAACTCCACTGTCAGAATTACTATATAGAAATTTGTTTCTTATGTTACCGCAAAAGTGGTGGTCTGAAACAAGGATGCTTATTACACTAGCATTCGGACTGCTCTCATTTTGAGCTTCTCTTAATTATAAATTGTGAAGCTGGTCTAAACACATTTTTAGAGAAGCTTCAATGAGTAAAAGTAGTTCCTTTTTATTGAAGAAAAAGTTATAAAATGAGCTTTAGAAGATAATTGGAGGAGCTTCTACTTTTAAGGATAAGAGAAGACAAAGTTAGGCCAAATGCTGCCTAAGTATGCTTTTTTGAGAATGCTTTTAAATTATATTATAAGAGTCAACAGCCTTTGTTTTGGTACATGTGACCTTTTTCCCCCAACTCGGGAGGAGCTGTTCTACTGGGTTCTTTATATCAGATCATGAAGGAAGGGTTGGCTATATCATGGGAAGCAAGAGTTATCTACAGCATGTTTGTTTGTGCTTTCCTGTCAAACGAATCCATGTTAATAATAAAGTTGATATAAGAAAGAGAAGGTTTGATCCATGTTATTATATTTGTTCTGAACACACTCTTAATGATTGAATGTAATCATTTTTCTTTTTCCAGTAGAGGAAAAATTTGTTTGATAACTTATTACTTTTGATTTTGATGATTAGGGAAATATATAGCTCTGGTTCTTTTGCAACTACTGTGTTTCACTAATTATTCTTAAATCTTTACACAGATACCTTAAAGTTTATGTGTGTGTGTGTGTGTGTGTGTATAGTTTGCATTGCTTGTTAAAACTTATTGTCCTATTTTCAGCTGGGGAATCATGGGTCCAATCTGACAGAGGAGGAGCTTGAAACACATACCATATCAGCTTGGAAAGAAGGAAAGTCGTATCTAAATAGACAGAACAATGGACATGGAACTGTGTTTTCAAGACGTTTTATCCATGTACGTGTTTTTTATGGCTGTAGTGTGCCATAACTCTCAATTTTTTATTGCATATAATGTTTGGGAAATATATATAAAAATCATGGTATATAGTGAGCAGCTTGAGTTACATACTGTTGTGTGTTTTTTAATGTTAATTCTATCAGAGTAAAAGGTTAATGAAGTTAAATGTAGTGTAGTGTCTGCAATAGGCCTAAGTAAATGAAAAAAAATTGACAACACAGTTGATAAATGGTGGTTATGGCACCACCATAATCGGGTGTTTTTTATGCCCACCAAATTTGCCTGCTGCTTGGTGGTGCTTTCCATCATTTCTTTTATTGTGGTTGCCATTGCCCTGGCAACATAGTGCTTTATAGCAATCATGGCAGAGATGGATTGTTTTTACAAAATGGGTTTTAAAGAGTTTCAAATAGGAAGTTTAGAATCTTTCTTCACTCTTATGCGTCACATTACCTTTTATCACCTTTTGATGATTCTGAATAGTGACTCAATCCTGAAATGATTGAGTGTTTTACTAATTATCATTGTATGCTTTAATTGAAGACGCTTTGTATTGCAGTGCACCACTGTAGTTCTATTATTTCAATACGTTTGAAATTCTTTTGTATTATTCTTTTATGATGCAGGCAGGGCCATACGATAATCTGAAAGATATTGCCGTCAAGATCTTGCAAAAGGAGGTTTCGACAGTTCCTATTATCCATTCTTCTTCTGAAGATGCTTCATTTCCACAGTTACTACACCTTGCTTCACTTTCAGGAATACTTAAATGTAAGCTTTCTTGATAAATTTCTTTAACAATGTTGTTAAGTATGCTTGATCCTTACCAAATTGATTTTTCAGGCATTTGTAGGTATTTTAGGCACTGTTCTAGTTCCTTGCCTGTACTTCAATTTCCAATCTGTGCAATACCGGTGGGCACGTGGGTGCCCAAAATTGGGGAATCAAATCGGAAGCCTCTAGCAATGTTGAGACCAACCACTTCGCTTGCTTCAGCCCTAAATTTATTAGTTCAAGGTGTGAACTTTTTGTCTGACCTTGAACATAGTGTATCAAAAAGAAAAGCAACAGAGAGAAAGAGTGAAGATATTGGTATCCTATTATACTTCTGAGGTATTAGGCTGATGATAGAGAGCACTGTCTCCCACAATGAGACAAATTTTGATGTATGACTAATCATCAAAAGAAAACATGAATTTTATGGGGTGATATCATTTTTTTATGCAAGCATTAAAACATAATAGAAACATTTTCTTCAAGCAAAAGCTCAATTTTGCTTACATTTTTCTCACCTTTTGCCTTTGCAGCCAAAGTAAGCTCAATACCTATAGTTGACGATAATGACTCATTACTGGATATATATTGTCGGAGGTCTGTTGTGTTTTATATATTTATTATTATTACAGTTCATGATGCCTTGATATACTATGCCGGCGTTTATGGTTCAAGCATAAATTCCTAGCATTTTGTTCCTGGCATGGGTTGTATAATCTAACTTTTCCACACCACCCTTCTTTATTGGCAGTGACATAACAGCTTTGGCGAAGAACAGAGCATATACACATATTAATCTTGATGAAATAACTGTTCATCAGGCAAGTTCTTTTTCAATTTGCTTACAAATAAATTAGCAACAATTTTTGAAAATTAAAAAATAAATAAATTATATGTTCTGATTTCATCTTCTCGTCTTGCAAACTTACTTTAGTTAACTTATTCTATAATATGAATTTCATAAATCCAATCATTGAATTATGTGATATCACCTCGATAAGGTATCAAATACCTTTGAAATTAAATATCTTCTAAATTACATAAAATTTTGTAGAATTTATCAATTTATTGAGAATTCTTAATCCAGTAATTGGATTAAAAATTCAATGTCTATGAATTGTAAATTTGATGGAATAAGTTAGACAAGCCATACTCTTGGAATAAGTAAATTTTTCCCCTCCCCCTCCCACACACACCCCACATCCCTGTGATATCTATTGTGAAATGATTTAATTTCCATAGAAGACACATTTTAAGATATTTTTAATTGCACATTTCTAAGATTAGGGCTAGAATTTCGTTGCTGGTCTGATTGGTTGCATTTGATAGCTTATTTTTGTAACTTAGATGCACTACTGCACAAAGGTTATTGTCAGATTTCTTTTTTGTCTTGGATGTGAATTGAGATTTCTTTTTGTCTTTTTTAAAAAAGAAAGATCTTATTTTAATTGAACATATAAACGTTAGCATCCCTGTCTGCCCATATTCTAAGCTAAGGTTTCATACTTTATCTGTTGATATGAAGGACTTTTAGTGTTTTTCTTCTTGTGATCTTATTATCTATTGCATGCTTTATTGTCCAGGCTTTGCAGTTGGGCCAGGACGCATATAGTCCCTATGAGCTTAGAAGTCAAAGATGTCAGATGTGTTTGCGTTCTGATTCTCTGCATAAAGTGATGGAACGCTTGGCAAATCCAGGTGTGTTTGTTTTCCATATCTGATGAAACATGGTTTTCAGTTTCATTTTCTATGCAATTATGTCATTGGTCGACTATTAATTCAAGGGTTACCTTTTTAATTTTCTTTTGCTCGTTTTGGGTTAGCTTTCAGTTCCAATTAACCTTCATTTGTATCTTCTAATATTGCTAAAATGCAGTACCCCCAAATTTCATTGAATATGGAGAACAGATAATTATTTTTACCTGACGTTTGTATGTTTACTGTAGTTATTTTGTTTTTGGGTACATTGGGTTAGCTCTCCTTCATCGGGAAACTAACTGATGGTTTTCCTCAGCCATACTGAAAATAATAGGTTTTTTATCCCCAACCATTGTGTAGATTATTGCTTAGCATTTGACATATTGTACGGAGCTTGAAAGGATGTAAGTTTGTCACAGTCATTGTGTATTGGCGCTCACAATGAATGTTCACTAAAAATAAAAATTCAGACACTAGTTAGTGGCCTGGCAAAACCTGTAATAAGACTTTTCTAATTTATTTTTTTCATGGTATAAGCGATATTTTGAGATTTTGTTAATAGGGTTGAATACCAATTGGATGAAATGTAAACGTAAACAATAAAGTGGTGTATTCAATTAATTGCCTAAAATTCGTAGCATATGATATTTCTTGAGATTTTATTAATAGAATTGCATACAAGATTATGTAAACGATAAAAAGTTGTGTCCAAGTTACAAGAGTGCGACATTCATTTTGTTTGTGGTTTTTGTTAAGTTGATGTAGCAGTAAGTTATAGTTTATCCAGATGTCGATTGATTTCATTTGAAGATTGTCCTTCTGGATGTTTTAACACTGTTCAATGCTGGAGTCAGGTGTCAGGCGGCTTGTGATCGTGGAAGCTGGCAGCAAACGTGTAGAAGGCATTGTTTCATTGAGTGACATATTCAAGTTCTTCCTTGGGGGTTAGTTTGGATGGTGAATGGCGAAGTTAAAGGGTATGTGCAGTGGTTATGACATGCAATTAGCCTCCATGACTTGTCCAGCCATTGAAAGTTCTTTCTACACGGTGATTTTATCTCATTTCATTGTAATACAATTGGATTGGCCTCTTGCTTTATTGCCTCTTTTTTAAGATTTTAGGCTGAGAAAGAGGCCTGTAAATTCAGAGTATTTGATTGCCCCAAATTTATTCATCTCTCCCCATTCGTATTATCTTCAAATGTATTGTGCTCCTGACATAGATACCAGCAAGGTGGGGGAGCACAACATCTGTAATCATTCCATGCTGTGAAGATATCAAGTTTGAAGAAAAAAAAAATGAGGATGAAGAATGAGATACTGTTGTTTTATATTTGTTGATTAATAATCCTTTCTTAGGGTTTGATTGTTTACCTTACTTAAGAATAACTTTAGCCTAAGTAGCTTATCAATAAGGGACCATTGCATATGAAGTTGTATCATTAGAGGAGCTGATGTGAACAAAAATCCTATAAGTAACAATTGTTTGTACTAGTTTATCTCTTAGTGGGGCATATGTTTAAGCAAACCCTCTTCAGTTGCAAGGGATGGTATTCATACTCTTAGGGCATTACTCTTAGGGTATTCATACTCTTGGTTTATAATCACAAATGTTTATAAGTTCACGATCTTTAAAATTATACCATAAAATAATGTTGCGGCTAGAAGAAAATAAAATAATTTTAAGAAAAAAAATGATTAATTTGGAAGTAAAAGGTAGTTGGGATTATAAAAACAAAAATACTCATTGCACTTTTCAAAAGTCTCGTCGTACAAATTTGTTGTTCTTTATTATGTAAGTCATTTTATATAATCTTTAAAGCATTATTTATATTAGTTACATTGAAGTAAATTAGATGAGCAGAATTGAAAAAAAGAATGAAATTCTGAGTCAAGAGAGTTAAAACAATTAATATAATAGATTATTTTTAGATACATAATTTAATTCAATCGTTCATTTTTATTTTTTATAAATAAGATAAATGAAAATATTTACTTTATAATATATTTTTAATTTTTAATATATTACAAATAATAGATTATATTTATGTTTGTTAAATAATTATTGTTATTTGTTAAAGGTGTTTTTTTACTGTCTTAAAGATTTGATCTTTATATAAAGGTTGACAAGTGCATCTTGGTATATAAAAATATAAAGGATAAAGGACTAATTTGTCCTCGAATGTATGATACTACTATACCAACACAGTCTTTGAAAAATAATTGGTCATTTATATTATAATTTAATGACAAATATAATCTTCAATTTATTATCTTTTTTTATTCTTAAGATTATATTTTCATGAAAAGTAAAATCTAATTGTTGCTTTTGTATACATTCAAAAATAAAAAATGAGTATTTAATTCTTTGAAGAAGTAAATAAAAACAACTTATACATTTGAGAATTAAATTGGTCATTTACTCAAAAAAAAAATATAAATTCTTGTTTAAAAGATTAATGTATATTTTTCAGAGAGTGGTAATGACTAAATTTTAAACAAAATACCGCAGGTGAGTTTTCCACCGAGTCAAGTAATCTATGCCAAATAAAACCTTTTTGTTTTGTGTACAATAAATTAAATTGAATTCAAACCAGAAAGAAGAAAGAGTAACAGGGTTTGAAGAGAGACTCGGACAAAAGAGATTTCCTCCCGAAATCGAAATGGTGAAAGAGATTGAAAAGCTGACAGAAGATGAAAGACGGGCACTTCGTGGAAGCAAATTCGCCCCTCTTCCTCGAACTTCCAGTTCCAAACCTAGGTTCGCTTCTGCCTCTTATTAGGGCTTTGACTCCCTTTTCAATTTTACTCTTCATTGCTAACCCCATGATTAATTTTTTGTTTGTTTTTGAATTCACAGTTTTTCAATTCTCGCCCCCTTCAATTTTAGTGGGTCTAACGTGAATTTTCTATTGGTGGATTTTTGTGACAGGTTGGCTCACCCAGGTGGACCATTGGCGACGAATAAAGCAGCGGCATTGGCGAAGTTTCTGGAGAGAAAGCTGAAGGATCCAAATGGATTGGCATCTATCAACCCTGATCTCCTTGAACTTGCTGTCAATAATGCCAAGCAAACTGTCCATGCAAGTAATACTTCTAACTTTATATCTCCTCTCTTTTAAACCTTTTGTCTTGAATTTTAATTAGAATATACTCTAAAGTGTTTCTATACAATCGTTTAACCATAGATTGTGATGTATGGTAAGTTTGCAGAGTTTTGTAATAATCGCTTTAAAAGTCATATATGATGCTCTTTAATTGGTTGACAATGTAGAAATTCATTTACCTGAATTTTTTTAAGTCTTTCTCCTTTTTGTGTTTTAGATTAGTTGTATATGTTTCATTGATTTAATTACTAATTTGGTATACTCGTTGATACTTTGCTGTTTTGACTTTATAGGTACAGATTGTAAGGTTAAGACTGTGCACATGAACATATTTGATCTGTTTTGGTCTATACCGTCAGTTGTCTTTCACTCTGATAACTTTGACAGTTTAGCACTGCTACAAAACTTTTTTGGCGGCATGAAATTGTCTAAAATTTTCTACCAATGTAAAATTTTCAGAAAATTTTCTATGGTGGACAAAGATTGTGACAGTTTTACACGGCGAAAAATAATTTTGAAGAGATGTTAACAGCAACACCTTCATACGATTCCAATGTCCACATCACACCTACACTATAAGCCCACTTTAGCAACGATGTCAATCACAAGGACCAGGATCAAACACATTAAATTTACGTGTTCAGAGATTAAACCTTGCAATTTTTACATATAGGACCAAAGCAACAAAATGTGGATAAGTATAGGACTGAATTAACAATAAAACTATTTTATTTATTTGGTTATTAAGTCGATGTATGAGATATTCAAATTTCATTAGACTTGTGGTTTTGTTGTGATTTGTGAACGCTTGGCTTTATTGATGCATACATTTATCTTCTTGGCCAAGTTCAGTAGAAAAATATCATGGTAGTTTTCTTCCACTATTTAAAGTAAAATATTGAATAGAGGGGGAATTATTTTTGTAGAATGTAACAATACAGACAGACATCACCTGGGCAATCATGATTAAAGTTTACTCTGTAGCCTGTTCTTTGCGATATTTTATTTTTTTTCAAATTAAACACAGAGAGGTAAGGTTACCGGTTTAGGGCTACAACTCAGATTTTAATTTATTTCTCCCTTTTGTAATGTTAGGCGTAAGCTTTTCTGCTGGATTTTGGTTTTTAGTTTCTTTATCCCATGTCTTTAATTTAATTTTTATTATAGTCATTAAGTGTAATCTTTCATGATTCCCTACAACATTAGGTGGTACTTCTAATTCACAAAGAACTGTTCGGCATGTGGACTCATTTGGTGACTCCGATTCTAAGGTTCTTACTTCATTACTGTTAATGGTGTCCGAACATTTGTTTAGATATTTGCTTTTTTCACTTTCTCAGTTTGTTATGGATGTTGTTATAGGATTCTAGCGAAGAGGAAATGAAAGAACTATCTGAGGTAAAGGAATGCAAGAAGAAGAAGAAGAAGAAAAAGAAAAAGAAAAAGCGAAAGGTCTCTACTTGCTAATGTGACTGGTTATTTTACTAGAGACTTTTACCATTCACATAACTAGGTTTGTTTTACTGCAGAATGCCGAGGACCCTGGATGTGTAGTGATGAAAAAGCCTAAACAGAAATTTAAATTCTGATCTTTATTGTACTTGCAGATTTTAGAAATTGAGGATTGTTGCCAAAAAATTTTAGTCATGGTTTTCTTTCCTCGCCCAAATTTTATAGTTACAAGTAAACATGGAGTAGATGCAATGTTGTGCCAGAACTTTTGATTCTATCGATATTCCCAGCAAGCTACAACATAGATTACAAGCCCTTTTATTAGATTCTTTGAAGGTGTGCATCTGGAAGGAATTTTGGTGGAAACAACCCTATTTCCAAAGGCGAAGGTTGGTGAAAATTCATATACGTTGGTGTTATTTAGATCTTCGTTGTGAGACTCAATTTCAACAAGGGATACACATTTCCTTTTATCCACCCTCTCTTTCAATATTGTTTGTATTATTTTTTGTCTTTATGTTGGCCCTTGTTCCTTTTGTTGATGCCTCTTTTATCATTTTTTTTTAGTTGATCCCACTTTTTTTTTTATGCTGCTTCAACATATACACATTAGTTCTGTTATATGCCTTAGAATCAAGGAAGGGTTATTTCTGATGGGATGTGGAAGCAGCATTTTTTGGTATAAATACGCAAACGGAATCTGTTTCAATGAGTGGCTAAAGTAATTCTACAGTCAGTGGACTTCTCTGATAGTTCCTAAGAGTATATTGGGAAGGTTTCTACGGGCAGAGAATTATGTACTTTAGTATGTTGCAATCATGATTTTTATTAGCAGATATGAACATAATTGCTACTTGCTTGTTGAACTCACTTTTTGCTAACCCCTACAAAAATAAGTGAAAATATGTACACTGTAGAATAAAATCTATTTATTATTGTTTTTAATGATATATTGTTGTTACTTGTAATCTAAGAACATCATTTCATACAAACATCGATATTAAGGAGGATTTAACCTTCAGAACAGAATGAAATTTTATTAATTTAACTACTGTTTAACTCAATTTAAGATATTGATAAATTATTAATGGAATTAGTTGATTATTAATTTAATTGTGTTAATGAAAAAATAATAAATAATATGAAATTTAAGTACATATATTTCGTGTCATAAGTCTGTTAATCTCCGTGACATGGTGTTAAGTTGATCCACTGAACAATTTTCAAGTCCTAGTTTCATTAGCTTGGTTCACCCATTTTTCTTATATTTCATGAAAGCCTGCATTTAAAAGCATAATAAATAGTCACCGGTTCGTAAAAGAAAAACGAATTTTCAAGCAAAAAAATCTGTTCGAATATCTTAATCACTGTATGTGAGAATATGGTCTTAAGCATGTCGAACGCGACAAGTTTATTGAGCATCCTGCTTAATCAAAGCTAAGATAATAATGCCTTGTGTACTGCACAAGTGAATCACAAAGTCGATAGCTTTTCATTTCTTTTACATTTATTGAGCATCCTGCTTAATCAAAGCTAAGATAATGCCTTGCGTACTGCACAAGTGAATCACAAAGTCGATAGCTTTTCATTTCTTTTACATTGATATCTTCGGCAAAGGAATCATAATTTCCTCCTTTTGTTGGTGTGTTGCTTGTGCTCAGAGTTACCGTTATGACTAACAGTGATAACCTCAGTAGCATTTTTTTCCTGTTCTTCCAGCGCTTTTTTGACAAAAATGTTTAGTCTCCATACTGTGTAGTCGCTCTGCATAAACTAGTCAAATTGGTGAATAGCTCCAAAGCACTTGCTATACAAAAAACAACTTACGATTGGACAGACAAAGTTAACAAAAATGAATGAGAACAAACTTTAGTAGCTATAGGGTAACGTTATAAACCTGATTATCAAGGTCAAGGTTCACTTCTGGAGCATCAGGTTGGAAGGTTGGGTCATTCTCACAAATTATCTGCAATGCCTTGTTGAGATTGTCAAGATTAAGTCTGTTGAAAGATTTTACAAGTTCCAGTCTCTCACGAACTGATATTTTCCTGCAGTATTTGCCAACAAAATAACAATGCAAAATACACATATCAACACAATGCCTCAACATGGGCAAACAAAAAACATAGCGAACTCAAAGTCATGTATTTAGAGGATCAAATTATGAAAAGTAAATATTGTTGGACCAAATAATATAATGGTATCTTCAGTAATCCTTGTGAATTGTGACTTTTAAAAACTAAACCAATTCATACACAGGTAAAAGGGTTAAATTACAATCTAATGTTGAATTGCTGTGCATGAGTGACACTATTGATTGTAGTTAATAATTTCGTGATGTTCCTTTTCATGACAATCTCAATATAACAGAAAATTTGAACAGCATAAGTAGGTGGAGAAGTTGATGATATATTTCCACCAAATGTAGGGGCTGGTTATAAACTCAAGCACCATTTTGAATTTAATCTCATTCATATAGTCTCAAGATTTTAATAACATTTTAACTTCATTGTCAAAGGCAGAACAGTAAACACGCAGATGTAATATAACATTGGTTTTTGCAATTTGACCTTGATCACCATGTAATAATAATTATGAGGGACTACATTTCACGAACCTGCACTTTTCAATCACCATTTCTTTGAGATTCTTCAAGTGCATCTCAACATCGCATAGCTGAAACAACATGTAAGCCAACACGGTAACCATCTGATTTACTTTAAAGTAATGCTATAAATTTTACACACAACTCTAATAAGAAAATAGTAAATCAACCGAAAGGCTTATATCCTTTGCCATATTGGCATAAGTAGCTTCTTGAGCACGCTGCGTTTCCAACTGCACATGTGCTTCTTCTTTTGATTGTTCTTTTTCCTGGAATAGTCGCATGAAAAGGCAAGTATATTTGGTAAAATATTGATAGCATGAATAGTAAATCACTACACTATTTGACTATTTCTGTATGTGCGGCCTCCAGAATCATATTAAGAAAGTTCCATTCATCCAAAGAAAGGAAAATATTTTGGGAAAACAAATTACCGCCAGAACAACTCTAGGCAATAACTGCAGCCATTTCTTCTCAAATTTTTCCAGCAATGACTTCGCCATGATGTGGATATCATGTTTTTCATCGTTGTATGTCATTGCATTCCTAAAAATCAACCTGACATCACAATATATCTCGCGCACGTTCTTATAACCAGAACCATCCTTAGCCTTCATTTTCCTTTTTATCGTACTGAAATCCATAGGCTGTTCAATAATCTAGGACAAGAAAACCAAACAAAACATTTTAATAAAACAGTAAACAAAGAACTCAACAAAATAGAGTTTTAACAAGTAAAATCGGCAACCAGAAACAATGACCAAGCGATTATTTACACATTTTTTTCAAATGTTATTTATAAATAATAAATTTATAGCCTTTTTTTCTAGATATTTATAGTCTAAATAGAGAAAAAAAGCTTTAAAAAAGGAAAAAAATTAAATACCTCATGATAGTCATACAGTCCAAGACCTTCAACATCTACAGGTTCCAAGAAAGGCCAAGCCCATTTATGCTCAGCTATCTGATAAGAAAAAATGAATCAGTATTGATTTTCTGCAGGAAATTTGGTGCAGTCATTTAGAAGATTCAACAGAAAAGCATGAGGTCATTCATTTATATAGTCAAGAAGATAAACAATTATTGCTATCTTACTCTCTATGAAAGTAACACTGTAGAAGATATTCATTTCAAGAAAATAAATACGTCTACATTCGATATTTATTTAGGTACAAATGAGTAAATATAGATGGAATGTGATAAAATGCAGAAGCAATCGGTAATTACTAACTTGTAATTCACTCCAGTCTACTCTTAACAGAAGGAATAAAAAATAATTTCTAAATAACTTAAAATATGATACACTTAAACCTTAGAATTACCAGCTCTTATAAAAAATATGCAGAAGATAAAACTAAAAAAAATTGTTATAAATGACCACCATTCAATGTGTTTGTCTCCAGTTTTTAAGAAACTTTGTCGTGGTAAGATAAAAGCAAGCACCAAATAGTGTCTGACTATATTTACCTTGTACTTAAAATTCTTGTAAAGTTAAGCTTTTGAAAGATTAATTAGTGACACATGCTAAGAGAGAATCCGTGACAACAAAGCAAAGAAGAAAAGAATTATCAAAACGCAAGTACACTTGCGTTGATAACCAAAAGTTACATTAATTGTGAAAGAAAAACTCTACATAACATTCTAGAGGGTAAAATATTAAATTTGATGAGCATAGCCTAAAATATATTATTGTACATTACTAATATGAAGAGAAGAAACCAGCATAAAACTGTATATTAGAAAACCAAGATTAACAAAAGTAGCAATAATTGAATATTCAGGGTTATGACATGGTCACATGACAGAGGCAAGATGACAAGTATGTGGATGTATGCTCTGAACATAGTAGTAAAGGGAAGCTATGGAATTTAACACAGGCCCCATCACGCTAACAAGCACAACCAATTAATAACCAAACAATTAATGCTGTGTATCATTGAAAGCTGACCAAATGGTTTTGATTGATCAATGGTTCAAGTTCAATTCATGTAGGTCCAGCAGAAAGAATATTGAGTCAAGTGGTGTATGACCAATTTACCATGTAGGTCCCTGATTCTATAAACTTAACTCACTATTGAAATCTTAAATAACAATATAGTTGCTAGGTATTAGCACTTGCCTGATGAAATATGGTGGAAAACTGGCGCATAACCTCTTGCATTATGTTTGAAGATTTAGATTCCTTTCTTGATGCACCTTGCTGTGACCTTTTACTGCCAATAACAAGCTTCTCCCGGCCTTTGTCTTTGGCATTATTAACTTGGGCATTAATGGAACTGTAGAACTTTTCAACCTCAGCAACTTGCTCTTCAAGCTGTAGACATGACAATTTTCATTTTAACTCAATGTCAAATTTAAACTCATTGAATGTGTGCATAGCAGCAAATTTGTGCTTAACAAAATATTAAGGACTCTCTAGACCTTAAATATTGTGATAAGTACTCAAACACATGGGAAGCCCACTTTAAAAAACCTAGCTACAAATGGGGAAAAACCAAGCAGCTAAATATACCACCAAGCATCTCATACTCTGGAGGTTTGGCCATTTCAAGAATGCATTTTTTATTATATCACCAATTAGGAGCTCATTATTTTTTTAGATAAATGGAATTTTTCTGTAGAAGACAAAGAGAAGGGCACAAAGAAATGAAAAAAAAAAAAAAAAAAAAACCCACTGAGAAATCACTTCATCTCATAAAAAATGCTTTCAAATAGTTGTCTTTGAAAAAAAAAAATTCTAGCATTCCTCTCCAACCATAAATTGCCCAACTTTAATGCCCTGAAAACCTATAAATTGATGTAAGAAAAAAAAGCCTCCATACTCTCTTGACTAACCCAACATTCACCACACATATACCATTAATACAAAGCTGTTAGTTTCATTCCAAGAAAAACAGAAGACAGATTAAATGAGAGCTTTGTGGGCTTGTGAAAAATAGAACTAAGAAGAATGATTAAGCAACTGAAAAATGAATTCGCAAGAGAGCACATGTTCATTAAAAGAAAAATGAGAATAAGGAAGTGAAGAAGGAACTGAGGCTCAGAACTCTGCTCTTTAGTTTCGTAGTAAAGTAAATTTTCCATGCTAGTACAGAGAAAACCAGTAAGATTATTAATTCTATATGATGCATTTAGGTAAATACCTTTGTTTAATACTTATTCAATAACTTCTAATTACATGAAGATTTGCATCATAAATATGACAATGAATCTTGTTGGAATATGCTAAAAGGAACTTGCTTTAATAAGTCACAGAAATTTATTGAAATACAACAAAATGAGTTTATGAAAATCATATAATACTAATTTTCTAAGTTCAAATAGATTCTCAGTAAACTCTAAATATCCTTCCAAAATCTGACACAAAAACTACACAGATACAGCAGTTCCATAATAAACATTAGCATAAGGAAAAAAGTTCCAAGAACTTGCACTAGTAGCAGTGATTGCTAGGTTAGTATCCTACCAATTTGGTCTAAAACATATTAATAAAACCTAATGCCACATCCACAAGACAGAAGTGTCAAAACTAGCTTGCACCGCTAACTTAACCAAAATAAATAAATTTACAAAATAAAGATGAAATATCTTTGAATTCAGACTTAACTCCCCCAAGTGAAACAATGGCCAAAAAAAAAAAATACTATTGGCAACTGACGTACACGATAAACAAAACCATCAATTTATATACTATCAATTAACTTCACATTGTAACCCTAGAAAAAAAAGTTTAGACATGAATTGTGGATTCAATGATCCAGTGGGTTCATACAAAGGAGTCTTACTTAGTCCAACGTGATAAAACATCTCAATACCACTACTGAATGGTAGGGGAAAAATATTCACTTTTGACGTGACTAGTACGACAAGACAATTTAGGTCTATAACCTGAACAACAAACATTTGGAGTGTGACACGAAAACAGAGCGAAAAAGAAAACAAGAATTAACATCACAAGTGAAGAAATTCTAAAGAGAATACAGTGTGATGCACAAGTGAGTGAGTGATATTCCAAAGATTGGGTCCTACTCATACTCCTCTATTGCAAAAGAGAAAAATGACAATTAATTACGAAATAAGAAGTCACCTTCTGAACTTTGTTGAAATTTTCATGGACAGAATACCTAAGCTGGTTCAAATCCTCCTCAATTGCATTAGAATATGTGGCAGAAGCTCCAAAAGCTGGATCCATTTCTCACAATTTTTCTTTTGGTGTGGTGCTACTTTTCAATCTATGAGATTTCCTAAACCTCTTCCACCGGTGATGGACGTCAGAATTTCTAACAACAAAACATTTGTTGATTGATTTGACGATTTTGATTCTGATTGGACAAAATATTGAGATTAATTATGGGATTTTGAACCATCCAAATAAACATATAGATGGGAGTAGAAAAACAAAACAAAGATTGAATTTTTAAGAAGGGTGGGGTTAATAGGTGATTGAATCCACAAATGAACAATGACAATTCATTCATCAAGGCACCATAAGGTAGCATCACAGTGTTCAACTTCTTCTCACATCCAAACTCAATTAATAGCATTTTACTTTAACCAAACTTCACAACAATTCCCAATGAAAAAAACTGCTCTCTTAGTCTCAGAATTTATTTTTTTATGTTTTATCCTACGTTTAGATTTATAAAATAATTAAAAGCGGATTAAAACTGAAATTTTATTAAATATTTTATATATTTTAAAACTGACAAACTTTGAATTAAAAATTAATAATAAAAATAATCAAACCAAATAATTTATTATATTTAAATATATTAGAAGATAATATATTTAAAATTAATTATCAAATAATATATATATAATTATATGTATAAGTTTTATTACATTTTATTTATAGTATATTAAATAGAAACCTTTAATTATTAATTATAAAATTTATAATTTATTTATAGACTTAAAGAGAAATTAAAATTATAAATATAATTTTTATTATATATCTTTCTTTAAGAACATTTTATATTATAGATTTTAATTATTTATTTTGTAAAAAATATTTTATAATTTTAAAAAAATAATTAATAATAAAAACAGTAAAACTGATTTAAGTCAAATTGAAAATATTAATTTGATTTTCATTTATATTTATATTTGATTTGGCTTTTTCTTATAAAAATTAAGTTACAAGCACCTTCCTGAAAATATTTTTTTTGAATGTGCATGGCTTATCTCTCATCATTATAATCTTATTTAAAATATATATATATATATATATATATATATATATATATATATATTACATATTTTTTAAACTTATATGTGATTTTAGTAATTTAAAATTAATAAATTCAAATTTCAACTTTAAAATATATGATTTAATTTATACTTAAATTTGATATTTAATAAAAAAAATATGTCATGAAATTGAGCGTATGTATGATTTTTTATATATATAACTAAATCTAATATTTAGTAATTATCATGTACTAATCAATTATATCATGTACCCGAAAAATCTAATGTTACAGTATTTACAATATTAAATCTCGAGGAAAATAATATAATCCACTAACATATCAATAATAATTAAAAATATTTACATCACAACAAATTATCTATTGCAGATCTAAAGTATAAAATTTTGTGATGTTTAAAAATATATATTTTTAAATTCTAATTATAATATAACTTATATATTTATAATATTTATTTATTACAAATTTTAGCAATATAAAATAAAAAATTATTTGAACATATTAATTTATAAGTTATATTATATTTATTAAAACTAATAAAGGTGAAAAAATGGTTGACCTTTAGATTAGACTCCTTTAGTCCAACATGATAAAGGAACTATTGTCTCTAACTTTCAAAATTGAAGCATCTTAGTTACTTCATTTATCAATTAAACATTTTCATTTAGTTAATGAAATTCATATGAAATATAAATCCATTTTGAAATGAAGAGATAAAATGTGTGAAAAAATTTAGTAATAGATCATAATTAGGAGGATGGGTGATGTAAATTTGAACATCAAAGTTTATGATAAATTGAAAAGTTTAAATTTTAATATCACAATTTATAATAAATAGCAAAGTAAAAATTAAATGATTGTTTTTATTATGTATGGATTACTGAAAAAATGGTTAATAATAATAACAATAATATATTAAAGATATTGAATGCATACATACAAGTTGAATAATCTCTTTCCTAATTGTTTAGACGTTTAGAGAGTCTAAATATTAATTTTTGGAAAATTTAATGAAAAAAAGACTAATTTAACATATATAGATATTATTTTAACCAAATGAATACATTTTTTTAATAAAAAAATATTTTTATTAAATGTCAATAAATATAGGCATAACTAAGGATTTTTTTGTCCACATTGAAAATGTTAAATATGTATCCATTATTTTTGTTATAATTATTTTTTATTAAGAATTAATTAACTACATTAATAAAATTTTCCTTTTCAACAATTAATATATATATATTATATAATTATTCAATTAATTAACTACAAATTTTTGATTTAGTTTAATTTATTTCTCAAATTTATTAGATTAAATATATTTTAAAAATGAAGAAGTTATTGAACTTTATCTCCGATAAAAAAAACAAGGGAATTTTAGCTATATACGAGATATACTTAAATTTTATAAAATATTTTCACAATATTGTGGATAATTGAAAATAAAAACAATATAAAATATATTCTTATCAATTTTAGTTTTAATTCTATAATTTTTTTAAAAGGTAACATTTTTGTAAAATAGAAAATACATGTTTTCTCAAAGTAAAGATACCCTAATTTTACTTTTTTTAGTTTCCAAAATTTTAAAGCACTCTCACAGTATACTTTTAATAAACAATTATTTAACGTATTTTTCTTGACATACTTTTCAGCTCTCTTAATTTCATGTATAAAATATTATCCACTGTTATGTATCCCTAGTTTGGTATCAAACAGCTATTTAGGTTTCCCACAAATCATTTTTGTAAATCTTTTATATTGGGAAGTGGTGGCAAGGATCTACCAACCATCACAATAACGAAGCAAGAGCAATGAATCCACACACACAGCAACAAACAAATAAATGTAAAACTCAGCCAAACAGGACTTACATCATAGTGGAACTGACAATGTTTAAATGAAGCAGATAGCTATAGGAAAGGTTGGATGAACCAAATTAATGTCACAATTCCTTGACTGAAAAATGAATATGAAAAATACGAAACAATAATTCACCATAAAACATTCACATGCACATTAATCACCAAATCTGCAACAATATCAAACTATGCAGCACAAAACCAATTTTACACAGGAATGAAAGAATAAGGGAATGATATCTGACAGTTTTGAGTATATGCAAACTAAGAATACACGTATATCTGCTGCATCTTCAAGAAACAGCTACATGCTATTCTGAACCAAATTTTCAAGGCTTTGGTGGTTCTTCTTTCTCAGCAGGTTTCTCTTCCTCTTTAGCAGCAGGCGCGGCTGGTTGTTCTTCCACCTTTTTCTCATCACTTGTCTCTATTACTTTTGCTTTCGCATCTTCCTTCTTCTCCTCTTCAACCACTATCTCCCTCTCTTGGACAACAGTACTACTCGTTTCTTCTTCTGTTTTAGTTTCTGTAGGAGGGACTTCACCCTTCTCTTCTTTCTCTTCTGTAACAACGAAAGTTGACACCTTCTCAAACACAAATAAAACCGAGCCCGAAGCCAAGGCTGGTCCAAACTTAGAAGATGCTTCAGATGCTGCCTTTGATCCAGGGAAATCTGAAATTTTATTGGGGGTTCTCATTTAAGCACAGTCGAATAAATAATAGAGATCATAGTAGCTACTTTCAGGTAATAACCAATAAACAAAACTTATAAAAGAGCCACAAACACTTTACCAATTTTAACAAGCTCTTCTAGGAACTTGTGAACTTCTGTGGAGTTCTTCTTCAGCCCAGCTTCGTTGCGTTCTTTAACTAAACTCTACAAGGTGACAAAAGTTTTTAACCAATCAATCTCGGTTTGGCCCTTTTTTATTTTTTCTGTTAATATATATGTAATATACGTGTTTTCTCTGCGTGTGTGTATGTTTTCTAAGTCCTCACCTTGATATCAGTTGATGAAGCTTCATATATTTCAACTACTTTAGTTTGAAGTTCAGTCTTCTTTTCTTCAAAGGCTTTGTTGTATTCCTCCTACAAACCAAACACCAAATTAACCGCACATAGCTAGGTTGTTTCATTTGGAACAAAAAAAAAAAAAGGTGAAAAAAAGAAAAAGTGAACAAGTTGAGAAGAGTATCAAACCTTAGCCTCATCAAAGGACTTGGAGGCCTCAGCAGCAGCTTTCTTGGTGCTATTCTTCTCAAAAACCTTTTTGATCTTGGGAAGAACCTTAGACTTCCAATAACCCATATTGTGTTTTCCAAATGATCTCTTTTGTGTTTCCCTGTAGTGGTCCTTAATAATCTTGACCAACTAATGAAACTAGCTATGAATGAAAGTGTTGCAGCCACAGCCACTTGTCCTTCCAAATCAACACACACATATATAAATTATAAGTATCTAATACTCTGAAGGCACTGAGTCACCAATCCAGCACACCACCATACATAGTTCCAAGTTAGAAGAAAACAAAGGAACCTTCAACTTCCATGCTAATTACATGCATGACCTCTTGCCCATTTCATGCCAGCAAAAGTGTGCTGCTCAAATGACTTGGAAGCCACCCCTGTCGGTCCATGCAAGCAGTATCATACGTTAACGTCAAAGATGAAGCAGGGGCAAAAGGGTAAACACAGGATAATTTAACAAGAGTTGTCTTAGAGATATGATTAACATGGTTGATGGAGGAGGTGATGGCGGTAATTATGCGGGGTCGAATAGGGGTATAAAAGGGAAGGAAGGTTTTGTGGGGGGAGTGACAGTTGGCAATCAAGTTATTCCATAGGTGGCACATATCAGAAACGGGCCCCTTCCATTTTGTATTTATGTTATCTATCATTTTATTAATTTTATAGATTTTAATACCACTGATGTTGATCTGTAACTCATAATTTGGCTTTATCATCTGCGTTGGGTATTGTTGAGGACAAAAATGCGTTTGTGTTTAATTTGGGTTCTCAAGTGAAACTTGGCACATGGCTTAGCTGGTATGGTACTGCAATCACGCTCACCATCACTTCCATTTTCTTCTGTTCAAACGCTTTTCCGTTTAGAATATATAGAAATAGATAGGTAATAACCAACCTCGTAAGTCTGTGGTGTGTGTGGATAAACTTCAACTCTAAACTCATTCTAAACCAAAACTGGAGTTCAAGGTATCAATCGTTTGTAGGGTCCCCAAACCCTCCATGTTACCCTATCGTCTTCTATTTAATAAAATATATATATATATATATATATTCGAAATATATTTCGATTAAACGTGATTAAAATACTTATACTTTGGCCATTTTGCCTCTCAATTCTCTTAACTTTAACCAGGATCATTAGTAACCAAGTTGGAGACAATTTTTTTACAACATAGATCATTTAAGTAAATTTTGCTAGATGTGAATTTATTGTGAGAAGGATTTTGTTAAGTTTCAAGTTGTGTTAAGATATTGTCAGTAATATATAAAATGAGTAGTTTGAAAATTTTTAAGATATATTTTGTAAGAAACAATCATATATAAAATATATTTTTACATTTTATAATTGTAGCGCATTCAGAATCTTCAAGCATGTATATCATGAAATGGTTTATTTTTAGGCTAATGAAATTAATTTAAAATTACAAATTGTTGATTTTCAAAAATTGCTTGAAATTCAAACTTAAAAGAATATCTTAAATGTAACCTAATTTAAAATGGATGGAATAATAGAAAAGAGAAGTAGTGAATCAAGATGAGTAATTGGTGTCTAATCTGGGAACATGTAGTAAAAAGATGATGACAGGGACCGATAGAATAATAAATAAAAAATATTCTTACATACAAATGTATTACAAGGGACCAACATCAGTTTTCAATCGCTAGCAACAGTGATGAGATGAAGGATGAAGGAGCAATTTGCAGCTCAAGACAAGTCAACAATCTGTGAAGGAATATCAACTATGATTTCTAATTTCTTTCAGTCAATAACATAATTGGGAGCCACCGCTAAAATTCGGTTATTTCTAGGTGCGCCTCCTCCTTCAGCTGCCGCCGCCTCTTGCCCATCATCTACCACTATCAAATGACCTTCTCTGCGAATTAAACTCTGCCCCCACAGTGTATATTTCAAACGCTCATCAATAATATGTAAAATACAAATAAAATACTATAAAAATGAAAATTATTAAAAATCACAATGATATGGGAGACTGGTTCACAATTTCATATGACAACGAGAAAAGTGTGCTCAACAAAAATATACCTCTATAATAGCTTTAATTTTAGAAATTTCAGCTGTCACTTCTTCCATCGAACTATAGTTATTTCTCTCGTTCTGTTGGTCTACGTACCATTGAATCAAATCTTTTTGTCTCATTCCAGCCAAACCATTTCCTGTAAAGTTCACAAAATTCCTTTTTAATACAATAAATAGCATTTGACACATCTAATATTCGTCATGCACAACGCACAACATGAAAAAGTATACAGGTGTCGGATCCATTAAACTAAAAGCTAATTTGATTGAACATTTAAGTTTTTTTTTTATTTTTCAGACATTAAATAACAAAGCACAGGTTTAAAGTAATCACCTTGCATAGCAGCCTCTTCATGTTGTCTAAGACGCATGATAAGGGCGCTGGTTACTCTTTGAAAATATTCATCACTTATAACGAGTTTTTTCGCTTGAGGTTTAGACCCATCTGCGGGATTTCCTGCAAGATAAATAATCCAATTGCATAATTAAGCTTCTTATCAAATATTCAAGATAGATAATTTCTAGGTAAAATGAGTTAGAGACACCTTACCATCGTTTCCATCAGCTTGTTTCATCCCCCGGGAGTTAGATCCATCGGCTGCTGGATTTCCTGCAAGATAATTAAACCAATGCATAACTATTCTTAATCAAGTAAGAATGTCAAGGGAAAATGCGTAGCAGCAGTTTACCATCATTAGCATCTCTATTATTATCATCTCCATCACCACCTCTATCATTAACATCTCCATTATTATCATTTCCATCGCCACCAACTGCACCGTCATTCTGATTTTCTTCTTGAAACTCAGACAGATCGATTTCACTGGACTCCACACTACAGAAAAAAGTAAAATGCAATTATCAGCAAAAGCTGGGTTCCAAAATAAAAACTGAAAAAGGTAAGCGTGGAATAAAATTCTTACCTTATTATGGATGTTTTCAGAAGTTTTACTGCTAGACGAACATGGCGAGGTTGCACCTGATACCAAACCTTTATTAGACCAATGAGAAAAAATATAGAACCAATGAATATTGTTAATAAGGCTCTGAAACTTAAAAAACCTGATTTTCCAAATGACACCGTGCAATGGCCTCTGACAGCCTGATTAATGCTTCCAACTGCCTAACTGTCATACGATATGCAACCCTACTCCCTGGATTTGTATCACCTCTACGAAGAGCAACGTAAGAGTCTACCAGTAGTTTTCTGGCATCTGAGGTGAGCTGCATCAATAAGGCAACATAATAAGATAGGAGCACAAAGGCAAAAGTTATCCCCATTAAGAGAAACACTTCATCTGAAAGATTCGTTAACCTTTGGTTTAAGAGTTTTTGCATATGCTATATAACGCTTCAGTTCTGCTGTAGTGAATGCTGGAGCAAGAGCAGCTTCTCGCTTTTGATGAACTCTCACAATATGATGAGCTATGTGATAATCTGTCTGATCATCTGGATCATCAATCATAACATAAACGAGATCAAACCTTGAAAGTATAGCTGGTGGAAGAGCCACGTTATACTGAAAAAAGAAAAGGGAAAAAATACAGCAGTTAAGCCCAGTTGTACTTAAGGGCAAGGTGATCCATAACAGGGTACTGGAGGAACATCTTACCTTAAGTGGTTTAGATTTATCATAGCGTCCTCCAGCAGGATTGGCAGCGGCAAGAATGGAAGTACGAGCATTAAGCGTTGCTTGTATTCCTGCTTTTGTGATACTAATAGTCTGCTGTTCCATGGCCTCGTGAATTGCAACCTGCCATACAATCAAATGAGACACTAGCCAATCCACGACCAGGGGATGTAATGCAAGTAAAAAAGGAACATGCATTGCCTGATCTCTGATGTCCATCTTGTCAAATTCATCAATGCAACAGATGCCATTGTCAGCAAGCATCAAAGCACCAGCCTGAAACAATAATTTAACCATATAAAAATCAAGTAGACAGGTAAATATCATGCAAATCAGAAAATTATGATTATGGAACACCCAAACATATTGAAACCCTCCCTTCTGTTCTGTTCCACTCAATACTTTTACAGTATCTTCAAGTCACGGTTCACAAATAGTTCTATGCTACACTGTGAGTTGTAAAATGCAAACTTCTAGATTCGTAAATAGACTCTAAGCTGCTCTATTTAGTTGCTATTTGTTAAATGCAAAATTCTCATTGCAACATCACGCAAACAGTTTGGCTTAAATAGAACATACAGTCCAAGACGGATAGGCAAATGCAGCATGCATTAATGTGATATATAAGAGGACCAAAATATTATTTCTTGATTCATTTTTTCCAGGGAGTAATTTCAAGCTAAAGTGGATTCTATTGCTTCTAATATGCTTTAACAAGTAATAGATATTAACAGATGAAATAGTTTAATGTAACTCAAACTAAGAAATATATTTCATATTTGAAAATTAAATTTCACTAAATCATAGAAAAACATGTCAAAGTAAAACACAGATTACAACAAAAAAATTAAAGTTTGCAAATTGTTAGTAACTTGAAAATAATTCAGCTGCCTTGACTGATTGTGCACCTAACTTTAACATTTCGAATAATTACAGGGGCAGATTATTGACCTCAATACAAAACTCCCCAGTTTCTGGTTCCTTGGCAACAGTTGCAGTCAAGCCAGCAGCAGATGATGATTTCCCAGATGTATACACAGATCTTGGAACTATGCCTGAAGTATACCTGCAATGATGAACTAGCATAAATAACCATTCAAATAGCACAAATCCGTATAAAGTAACCAACAAAAATAAAAAGAGGATTACTTAAGAAATTGAGATTTTGCACAGCTGGGATCTCCAACAACGCAAACATTTATGTCTCCTCTAAGGTTGATGCCTTCATGAGTAAATTTGTGAACACCACCCATGAGCATAAGAAGGATAGCTCTCTTTATATCTGGATGACCAAAAACAGTTGGAGCAACACTTTCAACTAATTTGGTGAAAAAATCTGGAGTAATCCTCATTCGTTGAATTTCATCCAGTTCCTGCGTCTGTCAAATCACCCAGGCAAATAAATATAGGGTTATTATCCTTTTTCAAATACAGATAACTAGAATAGCAATCAACCTAAAATTCTTAAATTGATTAAGAAAAAAAAAATGGAAACAGCATATGATGCTCAGTTAATGATTAAAGCAAAACTACAGTTCTTTACATCAACAAGTTTATAATAGAGGTAACTCCGGTCACAAAAGCATACAGTGTAGAATCTAAACCAAAAGATGACATTTGATGGATATAGATAGAGTGCATCATGAAACTTACAGTAAACTGTTGATCATCTTCTTCAGCATCCTTCTTTCTGTTCCTGATGTCTATTTCTCTTCTACCATCACAAATCTGAAAGAAATCATTCAAAAACAACATCCTTTAAAAAATCAATATCAGATCACATTAACATGACATGAACATTCAAAAATAACCAACCTGAACAGAGTTAGCTATAAAAGCTAGACGATAGGAGAGGTCTCTGACTCCCAGGGCCTTGAGGCCACTCACACCTTCATTTCCAGCGGTAGAACCCTTGCGTTGAGAAGCATCACGACGACACTCTGATCTCTCTCCAGGAGATGCCAGTGCCATTATGTCGGGTATAACAACAACAGTACCTGTGAAAATCACCCTACAGATAGCCAGAACGTGATCGATTATTCTGCTATTCAAATTCTGGCAATCAAAAGAGCTACTATAATTAAATTGGACAAGTTCAGGGAAATTTGGGGCAAGGGAAATCTCACGTATCACCAGCCCTGGCCTGTTCTACGATCTCATGACGAAGAATAACATCCAACGACCTAGGAAGAGAGCCGGCAGGTATCTCTTTGGATGTCTCCTGCATTCTGACCCTCTGCCAATCAGCAAATTTGCTATCTTGGCGAAGCAATACCCACCTTGTTCGATTGCTACAGGTGGCATTTGAACAGATTGTTGGCTACAGTGTGTTATAACATCAGAATGGGATGTTAGCAATCCAAATACCCAGCATGGGAATAGTAAATTAGAAACCAATATACCCAGCAAGTGACAAATAACAACAATCATAAATGAACATATCAGGACAATGATAACACATGACAATAATCAAATTAGAACATAATATTCTTCTTTTAACCACCTCAGTATACTTGAATTGCTGTTCAACATTCTTTATAACACTACCGCATTCCAGGCACTTGAAAGTCCCTTGGAGAAGTTCAGGTCGAACCTCACTTGTCCTCGTCACAACTCCTGTAACAGATACAAGCCTCCCGATTTCTGATGTACCCAATTCCCTTAACCTGCAAAAGGGAAAATTTAGCGGTGAACAAAATGCACACAATTAATTCCATTTGAACTCACTCAAACTCTAGCAATTGAAACACCAAAGCCTGCAATTTAAGCTAAAATTCGACACAACGAATAAAAAAAAAGTAAAAATTAAACAACAGTGAACAGACCGCTTAATAACGGGAATATTGTAGAAAGCAACGTTGATATCCTTGTTGGGGCCATCGTCGGATACAACTGACGGCTTGAGTTCCATTACAAACCTCTTGCAAGCATTCTTCAAATAAGGTTCATATCTACAAAAAAAAAAAAGCAACTCTCAGAGGCACAAATTATTAACCGAATGTTGTGACTTCCAATCCCAGCGTCCCAAATCATAAAAAATAAAATAAAAAATAAAAATCAAAGTTTGAAAAAAATAAAAACCTCAAATACTCATCAGAGACAGTCTGCTGGAGGAGGTCGCTGAATTTGATGACGTGGGCGAAATCGATGAACATGGTGTTGGATTCGTTGACTCTCATCACTTCGATCTCCGCTTCGTACTGAAGCTCGTTCCGTTGGCTAGATTTGAAGCTGTCGATTCCGCTCAAACAAACAGAGTTAGTAATTTTTATTCAATATGAAAAAAAAAGGAACAAGAAGAGAATGGCAAAGAAGAAGGGAACCTTTTGAGAAAATCCAAAAAAGCGTTCTCAACCGTAACGGCTTTCTCGTCGACCATGAACCCTCCGTAAGCTTCCATTGTGAATTGTTCTGCTTTCTCTGCTTCTCACTGAGAACTCCCAACCCTAAACTCTTGATTTCTTCGAATCTAGCTCCTCGTTTACCGTTTCTAAGTAATGGGTGCGCGCTGTGGCGGGAAATTAATAAAGAGTATCAACGCCTTCCCGCCAAATCGTCACCTTGTTGGGCCTCTTTGGGCTCATCTATCACGGCCTATTTTTTGTATCTGTCCACTCAAACTCAATGCATGTGATAAATGCTTTGTTCAGATTATAAATCTTTGTTTCCCCATCATGTTTAAGGTTATTATATGGACTAAAAAATATTTATTTAATACTGTTCCTCTCAATCATTGGTAATAATAAACTAATACTCAAAATTCCTACTTATCTAAATTAATTTCAATGACAATAAAATGAACCATTAAAATTTATAATTTAAAATATTATAATATTTATCACACTCTTTAGGGAAAGAATAATGGGACATGACTTGAATAAGGACATGTATCCATTTGAAGGACTTGAAAGATCTATGACAAAGACCAGAGCAAAGAAAGTAAAGAAAGTTCTTCAACAAGCGTTATCCATATTATTTGAATACAAAGGAAGTTCTTCAATTTCATATTATTCGAATACTAACCCAAGTTTTAAGAAGAAAAGATCAAAGTTATGAGTTGCATCATGACCCAAATGAATGAGAACTAATGCGTCATTTTGCTTCAATTTTTAAGTAATTAGTTTGTTTAAATAATGACTCAATCTTTTGTAAAATTGGTCGACAAAATTATATTTTGAGTTAATCAATTAATAGACTCTAGTTTGACTTTATTTCAAGTTGTAATAAGAGCCCAAAAGAAAACAAAGGCATTAACCTTTGAGAGACCAAAGGGCACATAATTGATTGCTTTTTGGTAATTACAATCAATAATTAAGTAGTTTCCATTTTTTAGGTTATTAGATTATTATTAGCATTTATTTTCCTTTATTAAATCTTTTGTAATTTTTAATGTCAAAGTTTCTATATAAGCTGAACCATTTTTATCAAGAAAATAAGATGAGTTTTATTCAGAAATATTAGAGTTTAACTATTTTATCTTATTAAGAGTGATTATCATAAGTTCTTAAATGATTCAAGAACCTTTAGTTATATCAAAGGACTTTCACATGTTTTGCGAGTTACTTCCTTGAAAATAGTGATTATTTCCTTTCTCCTTTTTATATTCCCCTCTTCTCCTTTCTTTACAAGAATTAAGAAAACTTAAATTTTATCCAGATTTATCTCGTTGTCATGACTTGAGTTCTACTAACCCAAAATAAGTAATTTTTTAACCTAAATTGAAGTTCAAAACGAGAACTTTCACCTCGTTCTGGAATCACCTCAATTGAAGTTTTATAACTCGAGATACTTTTCTAAAATTCTTCTTAACCCTGAAAATTTTCAGCACTTTCTAATCCATTAATTATCTTGATTGTTACATGACACATTAGAGACAAGATACAAGAAAACCCTTTAGTTTATAGGCACAGAAAGGTTCAATCTTACAACCATCTCTGCGTATGGAGATTGAGATTAAAGAAATACTTTTCAAGATTGAAGGCATTTTTAAGGGAACAATAATTATTGGAAAGTAAATTTAGCAAAGTTTTGTATAACATTTTAAAAAGATTATATTAATAAAAACATAAAATCAAGTTTGACCGTCAAAAAAGTTTAATATAGACAACATTTAAGGGATAATTTTTCTTTCTAGTAAAAGAGAATAATTTATTTCCTAATGTTTGTCCCAAATGATTCAAATCCGGTCTTAACATTAATATGTTTAAAATAATTATTATTCTCAATTTGCAAACAATATTAATATTTTTTAATTGCTTCTCACATAAATTTTTTAGTCTTAATAAATTTGAGAGTCTTGTCTCTTAATTATTCGACCACCACAATTATCTAAAACAAAAGCTTCAACCAAGGAGAAATGGTTCATTTCAAGTGTTTGAAAAAATCAATGACAATACTTACAAAATTGCGTTGTCCAGTTAGTATAATGTTAATCCCACCTTCAATATGTCTGACTTATCTCTTTTTGATGTAAATGAAGAATCCGATTTGAGGACAAATCCTTCTCAAGAGGAAGAAAATGATGGGGACATGACATGAGCAAGGGCAAATATCCATTTAAAGGATTTAGAGAACGTGTGACAAGGGTTAGAATAGAGAAATCAAAGGAAGTTATTCAACAAGTGTTGTCCATATTATTTGAATACAATCTCAAGTTGTGATTTGCATCGTGACTCAAATGAAGGAGGACTAATGCATCACTTTACTTTAGTTTTTAAGTTATTAGTTTGTTCAAATAATGATTCAATCCTTTGTAAATTTGATTGACCAAATTATGTTTTGGGTTAATCAATTAATGAGTTTAGTTCGGTTTTATTTCAAGTTGTAATAAGAGCCCAATTGGAAACATAGACATCAACATTTGATAGATCAAGAAGGCACATAGCTGATTGTTTTGGGGTGACTTTTGTTTACCACAATTTCAGTTACAATTATCCATTAAGCAGTTTTCATTTCCTACGTTAATGGATCATTATTAGCATTTATTTTTTTTATTGAATATTTTGTATTTCTGATGACAAAGCTTTTATATAAGCTGAACCATTTTTATCAAGAAAACAAGTTGATTTTTATTCAGAAATAGTAGAGTTTAACTCTTTTATCTTATTGAGAGTTATTATCTTGAGTGATTCAAGAACCCTTGGTTATATCGAATGACTTTCACATACTTTGTGAGTTGTCTCCCTTCGAAAAAGTAAATTTTTACATCCTCCTTTTCATGTTCTCCTCTTGTTCTTTCTTTACATAATTCAAAAAACTTAAATTCTGTCCAGATTTATCTCGTGGTCATAACTTGATTTCTACTCGCCCAAATTAAGTGATTTTTGAGCCTAAATTGAAGTTTAAAATGAAAACTTTCACCTAGTTTTGGAAACTCAATTGGAATTTTATAGTTCAAGATATTAACGTTTCTAAAATTCTTCCCAATGGTGAAATTTTCACCACTTTCTAAGTCATCTCATCACCAAATTTCTAAATTCCCTAAATGTTCTAACTCGAAAGATCCTAAATCAACCCTTATGCAAATGAATTTTTATCACTTTTGTACAAATATAAGTTTTGAGTGGACTTAAGAAATATGCATTAATAGTCTTGATTATTAAACAACCATTAAAACAAGATACAAAAAGACTCTTGGTTTGTAGGCACAAAAATGTTCAGTCCTACAACCATCCCTCCACAGGGAGATTGAGATTGAATAAATACCTTTCAAGATTGCATACATTTTCAAGGGAACAATAATTATTGGGAAGTAAATTTAACAAAGTTTTGTATAACATTTTAAAAAGATTATATTATCAAAAACATAAAATCAAGTTTGTCCATGAAATTTTTTTCAATATAAACAACATTTAAGGGATTTTTTTTCTTGTAGAAAAGAATAATTTATTTTTTAATATTTGTCCCAAATGATTCAAATCTAGTCTTAACATTACTATGTTTTAAAATAATTATTATTTTTAATTTGCAATACATTATTAATATTTTTTAATTGCTTCTCACATAAATTTGTAGTCCTAATAAATTTTGAGAGTCATGTCTCTTAATTATTCGATCGTCACAATTATCCAAAACAAAGGAAATCAAAGTTTCAACCAAGGAGGAATGGTCCATTCTAAGTGTTTGAAAGAATCAATGACAATACTTACAAATTAAGTTGCCCAATGAGTATAATATTAGTTTCACCTTCAATGTGCATGACTTATCTCTTTTTTATGTAGATGGAGAATCCGATTTGAGGACAAATCCTTTTTTATGAAGAAGAGAATGATGGGACATCATGAGTCGAGCAAGGATAATGATTTACTTGAAGAACTTGGAGGACCTATAATAAGGGCTAGTGTAAGGAAAACAAAGGAATCTCTTAAACATGTGTTGTCCATATTATTTGAATACAAAATCCAAGTTTCAAGGAGAAAAAATCAAAGTTGTGAATTACATCATGACTCAAATGGGGGAGGACTAATGCGTCACTTTATTTCAGTTTTTAAGTGATTAGTTTGTTTAAATAATAACTCGATCCTTTGTAAAATTTACTGACCAAATTATGTTTTGGGTTAATCAATTAATGGACTTTAGTTTGATTTTATTTCAAGTTGTAATAATGATCAAATTGGAATGCATCAGCATTTGGGAGACCAAGAAGGCACATAACTGATTTCTTTTGAGTGACTTTTGGTTGTCACAATTTCAATTACAATCAGCCATTAGTAGTTTTCGTTTCTTAGGTTAATGGATCATTATTAACATTTATTTTCCTTTATTAAATATGTTGTAATTTTGATGACAAAACTTCTATATAAGTTGAACCATTTTTATCAAGAAAATAAGTTGAGTTTTATTCATAAATATTAGAGTTTAACCCTTTTATCTTATTGAGAATGATTCTCCTAAATTTTTGAGTGATTTAATAATCTTTGGTCATATCAAAGAATTTTCATATCCTTTGTGAGTTGTCTCCCTTTGAAAGAGTTATTCTTTCTTTCCTCCCTTTCATATTCTTCTCTTGTTCTTTCATCACCAGAATTTAAAAAACTTAAATTATGCTTAGATTTATCTTGTGATCATAACTTGAGTTTTACTCGTCCAAATTGAGTGATTTTTTAGCCTAAATTAAAGTTTAGAACGATAACTTTTACTTGGTTTTGGAATAATCTCAATTAGAGTTTTATAACACAAGATATCAATGTTTCTAAAATTCTCCCTAACCCTTGAATTTTCACCACTTTATAACCCATATCCTCACCAAATTTCTAAATTTTCTACAAGGTTCTAACCTTAAATATCTTAAGTCAGCCGTTGTGCAAATGTGATTTATATCGTTTGGTATTCAGAGCTCCAGTTTAAGGATTTGAACATCAAATTTGTAACATATTTCCTTCATTCTCTTTTTACTAAGTG